GGCCTTACACCGGCAACCAGATGGCTTCTTCATATGTGTGCGTGCCTTTGCATGAATGTTGTCCATGTGAACATGAAGATATACAATCATGTTCCAGAAGTCTCCAAACATGTACGGTAAGTGAAACATTAGACCCGAACCTGCCAAAAACGGGAAAGAAATCGCCTCGTAGTTGTGACGGCCAGAGGACAAAACCAGAGGAATCATCGTCCTTTGCTGTTGCCCATGAATTCAGCATTAAAGCAAAGTGCGTTGTTACTGTATCTCCCTGCATGGGGTTGTTGGGGCTCACAGCCAAACAGAGAGTAAATGAAAACAGAGTGAGGGGAAAGTGTGAGGGGAGTGATACCGTCAAACACTGATCGAGCTTTGCTGTCCTCTGTGATTTGTAAAGCAAGACTCCGCGTCTCGCTTCCCGAGATGTTTGCGGTTTCAGAGTTACTCTCGTATTCGGCGCGGCGTTGTTTGCGTTGGCCTCCGGCGAGTGACTCTTAGTCCACGATTCCATTTTGGGGGTCTCTCCATCGTAAGTGAGAGGGGCAATTTGATCGTCCTCTGTGTCTCTTGGGGGGGCCACGTGATATGCGCGTTCTTAATCAGTCCCTGCTCGCTCGCTTGGCACCCCGCTGTTAAAAAAAACAGAACTAGAAATTTGATTTTGATTGCGGATTCTCACTGGGTTCCATAATCCGGGGGTGTATTGTGAGAAGGTTCATGCAGATAGTAATAACCAGATAATAAGCTCAAACAGAATGGTTCACATGTAGAGAACGAGATATGAGCCTTAACCTTGTGTAACTCGAATCTTTACAAAATGATAGCAGGGAGTTCAAGCTGTTCTTCTTTTTACAACGCAAGTTAACTACTGGAATTGTTTTTTATGTGTTTTATCACAAAACTGCACGTGGCTTTGTACCGATCTGGCAGAGTGCGTGGAAAAGACACTGTGTGGCTGAGAGCGCCACGATAACTGATCTTATCCTCCTAAGACGTCTGTTGATACAGAACACAAACAAGCCGGACGCACAAAATAATACACAAGTTATGTAAACATTGAATGACCCACACTTAAAAGCATCGTTGTACATGTCCATGCAACTACGTTGTTAGAGGCCAAGAATTAATTTCCCCAGCGCGGTTTTCAAAGGAATAATTGTGCATTAACTGCTTGTCGCCTTCCATCTCGGCCGTCAAACCTGAAGATCAAAACTACAACATTTTTCCAGAAAAGAAACACCAGTCAGCGGCGGTCAAAATGAGTCGTGTGATGAGCCCGGATTATGAGAGGTTGTAAAAGACAAGGCAGATAATCCACTAAGAATGTGTCACCTCTTATTACAGCTGTCACTCCTCAGCTAAAATCAATGTGGTGACAGATAAAGCTGCTCTAAAAGGGGAATACCAACAAAGTGTAGCTTTCCAATGTATGGTTGTTACGCCTGTAAGTAGTAACTACACGCTTTCTCTGTGATTCGTGATTGATGTAGTGTGATGGTTTTTCTGGATAGCAGTTAGATTCATCACATTAAATGTTATCCTGGGATCACATAAATGAGGATCAGCATCTGACTGGACATCTGTGTGAACCCAAGCAAACTGCTGCTGATTACAAAACCACAGTGACATTTGTTCATTCTTAACTTTCAACCATTTAAACATCCACACGACGTGCAGTATATAGTAGACTATAATGCTCTCGGTTTCGCTTCCTGTCAAATAATCCATACCGTCACATCACGGCAACCTCAGAAAATGTCCTGTTGGAGGACAAAGAGGACCTACTGTACTGTACTTGCAGACAGCACTACAATAAGCACAGGACTGCTTTAATCAGGCCCGTGGCTACCACATCTATTCCGCCCAAAAGAATAACAGTCCAACCATTTAAACACGCTGTGGCCAATGCTTACACGCAGAGAGGGATGAGTTGAGTTTATTTTCTATATCCCAGGCAGGTCAAAGAAATATAGACACAGATCAAACCATCACCACACGTCCTCTAAATGGCAAAAAACACATCCATTCGAAAGTCATTTTCCTGTGTATCCACGAAGAGACTAATGCATTAATCAAGTAATGTATACAGACAAATATCCACAGAGCTTCATGTTAACGAGACTACACTCTGCAGAACACACACAGATAAACATTTACGGTGCCTGATTTTCAGTTTTAGTACACAAAGCGCCTGGATTGCTTCACTGTGTGATGAGAACAAATCACTACGCCGGAGGAAGATCGCTAAACCGCATCTTAATAAACTATTATCTCTTCGTGTGAGCACTTTTCTTCCTGCCCTGACTCTATAATGCATAGATGTCTGCCCAGTCCTAGAAAGACCATGTGTGTGTGTGACAGTTAATGACTAGCAACGACTAGACGCACACACACACATAACAACACAAACAAACCGATAGCCAGCCCTGTGAATTATACATTTGGAGAAAGCCCCGAAAACCTGAGGACATAAACAAAGTTACGCACTTCTTAATTAAACCTTCAGATACATGCAAAGAGAAAACCACATAACAGTGCTACATGATGGGGATTGCGCACAAGGTTTTAACCATCTCATCACTTGTGTTAATGGAGTGGGTGTAGAGGGAGTATTTTGGGCTGCTCGGGTGTACTAACTCGGCGCCCAATTTTAAGTGGGCGTACGTTTAAAATGTGACTTTAAAGAAATGGCATAGAAACAACACGGGGAATGTTGAAACACGCAGCCTTTGGCCTGAAGCTCACACAAGAAGGGTGCTGTTAGCGCTGTTAGTTCAAGCTTGTCAGACTCAAACAAAAGGAGCATTTCTACGGGATTTCCAGAGATTCTGGAAATCACTGCGTTTAAGCCCCTTTGATACCTTTGTACATTTTGTGTTGGCTCTTATCCAAAGGCCGTCTATTATAGCATATTTATTTCACCATATGACATCATATTATTGAAAGCCAAAAAAGTATGGTCAATGCCAACAAACAATACATGTACTAACAATATTGAGGCTGATTTTTGGAGACATTTTGGCTTTTATGAGCTGGCAGAAGGAAAATGTGCGACCCCTTAATACAGAGCAAGTGCACAACCCGAAGAATACGATGCCATTTGCCTTTGGAAGACTAACGAATTATCTCCTGGGTGGAGCCAGAACGTCACCCAGTGATTCTACACTCGTGGGCTACAAGGTAAGCCCTCTGGTCGGATAAAATTAGGATCAAATGTCTGGACAAGTTTACAGTAACAGTGACCACCCCGTCTAGAGGAAATAAATCAGCAAGCCACCAGGGCAGTCACTGGGGGAGGCTGAAGAAAGGGCAACAGGTGGCTGTCAACTTAGAGGCCAAGAGTCATCATCCACTTAGAGAAGAGCAGCAAGTCTGTCTGCCGCTCCACAGGCTCCACTAAGCTCAGCCGAGCACCAGCAGGAGGAGAGAATAAGGTGAATCCAGTGTGGACGCGCTTCAGACACGTTCAGCAATGTTAAAGTAGGACAGAAATTCAATAGTAAAATGTAAAAAAAATGAATGCTTCGTCCACACACTTTTGTCACAGCACAGGAAAACACACTGCTATGGTTTGGCTCATTTTCTGTAACCCGTGTAGGATTAAGGCTTTGTGCAATTAGCAGGCTGACTAGCTGACGAGCGTAAAGCCGGGTTGGGGAGCCCAAGCAGAATACAGCAAAGTCCAAATACATACTCCAAATATGATATATATTTTAGTTATTTACTGTATCAACATCAGTCATAGTGTCCAGAACGTCAACCCGTGCTTAATGAGCCATCGTGGCTGAACAATCTCAATAAAAGAAGAATGTTTGGAAACTTTTGCGTTGCACGTCAGCCGATTGAATAAGTAACCATAGCAGCGAGAGTCTGAGGCCCTCGTGTACTGACATTTATAAACGTAGCGCTGCACATACGTACTGCAGAATACATAATTAGGCGCATCCCCTCTTTATGGGAAAACTCCCACTTTCTCCTTGACCCTGCCATGAATGCATATGCAGGACACAGAAAAGGCGCAATTTGCCCTTTTCAGTTCCCGCGACAGGCAGTCTGCGCTTTCACCTCAGTGCGTCTTGTTTGTACACACCTCGCCGTGCTTTTATGCGCACGCTGCAAAACAAAATACGCCTGAAGTGGGCGCATCAAGCCCTGAGAGACTTCATTCAAATCTTTGGTTTGCTTCTACTGCAATAGAGAAATAAAGCCCAGTTTAAAATGTGATAATTTACAGCCTAATAGCTTTTCCAGGCATTGGGTTATTTTTACACTGCAGAAGAGGTGCTGTGTGTCTTTGTATAGGAATGTGTGCTCCACGTTCTGCTACTGACAGCCATAGTTCTCTTTGCTAAAACAAAACCTACAAATCACTGGGACACTACTTTTAAAGGGCTGGTGTGTTGCCTTCGCACATTCTGCGCAAACAAGGTGGCAAAACAATTAACACATACGTATCCGTTACATCTAACCCCAAAAGATCCGTCACAATGCAATCAAAATCTAGGTCTGAGTGTCGTCCTGAGTTTAATCAAAACCCAACCCCTGTGTGTATGTTTGCATATGTATATGTATATGTGTGTGTGTGTGTGTGTGTGTGTGTGTGTGTGTTCGCAGGCATGCCACATGCATATGTTTTCACTCAGCTCTTTGTGATTGTTCCCTCACATTACTCAAAGACACCAGGAGGCCCAATAAAACAAAGTGACAGAACACAGCAACTCCAAAAAACATTAAATGTTTTCAGGCTTCGCTCCGTGCCAGTGATCTGAGTGTTGTTAAAATGCTGTTAATTCTCACTCAAATTAAAACTTTAGGCTATTTTCTAGGCCAAGACTGCCACTGTGCAAGTTAAACAGAGACCTCAATAAAACAATCCACTGGTAATAGAGGTAATTAAAACTCATACCTCACTGGTCACATAGTCAGAGAACCGCAAATAGAGCGTCATAAAGATAGAAATGACAAATGTACAGTTTTGGATAAAAGTACAGATTATTACCCACCGATGCAGGCATGGACTCTGACAGACAGCTGTGTTCGGAGAATAACACCGTGTTTCTTTCCCCTCCTGTAAAAAAGGAAGTAAAAAAGGAGAAAAGAAAAAAAGACAAAGTGAGACAATTGTTGCAGGACATTGAACCATGTGTGAATATCTAAATGTATGTGTGTTTGTGTGCCTCTGTCCATCTAATCAAAGGCAGCGTTCAATACGCCAGAGGCCACCAAGTGCTGACAAGAAAATATAATCCCCAAATAGCTTCCGCGTAAAGGGGAAAAGAAAAATTATGACAAATCACAGCGTTCAGTCTTAATCAAACCCTTGACAATGTGCAGTTTGAACACAACAGGGAACTAGCTGCTGAAGAGAACCAGGGAACGGTCTCAAAGGGGAAAATGAAGGATGGGAGAAGCTAAGAGGTCAACACCTCCCCCCTGGGTTAATGGAGCTATGGCCAAACCCTATCACACTCCTGTCAACTGCTTACAATGTCTGAATGACAGTCCGAAACAAAGACGACCACAATGCATCCCAGTTCTATTCTATCGTGAAAGTGAATGTGAATGGGAGGCCAGTATAATTTGTATTCATACAAAGGATCATTTGGTGCCTTAGAAGCCTCAGCATCAATTTATGCACAAAGAGTACCGATAAATTTCCCATTTTGAAGTATAAAGACGGCATTATTCTATGTTTATCTTGGTGGCAACACTAAACCGTGTGCAACAGTCATTCACGTCAGACTACTTTTGTGGATTTGTCACACCTCAAATTAGTCTTTTATCGAATAAAAAGGCAAGACCCAACAGTGCTTTCCCTTTTTCCGTATCCCGTCGGTGGCAGCCAGTCCCAAGGTCAATGCTTGGTATTACAGAAAAATGTAAAAATCAGCCACAAATAATGCTACTCTCGATAGGTTGAATAGTGAATTGCTGAGGACAGTATTCAATTGTGGGATGATAATCAATATATTGTTGTGAAAGGGTGTTCAATTGCACAGTGAATGTGGTATTGACTCAAACTCAACCACTTTGGTCATGTTCACGGTAATGAAGAAAAAAGTGAACTAGTGACAGACAAATACAGATTATTATAAGTCTCTTCAGTTTTAGTGTAATGGATTCAGTCCAAATGAATTACGTTTGCCTGTGTTTGCAAATGTGAACAAACCCGTCAACAATCTGAGAAACATAAGGACTCCAATGTTGTGTTGTCTCAATTAATTTGACCGTAAAGTTGAATTTTGGTTAGGTGGGGGGGGGGGGGGGGCACCCTTTTGTTTACATTTTTCAGATTGTGCCTTCAAGCTCCCGACTTGCTAAAGGAGCACACAACAAACCCAGAAGACACAACTGTGGACAAGAGCACAGCAGGTAGAGTTTTACACCCCCCCCCTCCCCCTTCCCCTTACCGCCCCTAATTCGGCTCCCTGACAAATAGGCTTTTATGGCGCCTGCACAAAGGCTGCATGAATGTTCAGACTGGCACTGCGCCAGCAACAGGCTGTTACTCTTAGTGACCATCAGGCATCAGTGGGTATGACACAGAGAAACAGCCGACCAGCACAGAAGGCAGATAATACTGCCGCCTGGCCATAAACAAGCAGCACTAATGGATAACCAATCGAGACAGACATGCTGTGATCTGTCTTACCTTGGTCAGTTAGCGGACGGCGACGCTGACACACGAGCAGATTAGATGGAATGGGAGATCCGTATATGCTTAGTGTTTATCAAGTATGTTATCGAGCATCCGATAACACGGGGGCTCCATCTGTCAACATGGACCTTCAGTGGTGAGATGAGGCAGCAGACAGGAACTTAATCCTCTGTGATGCTGTCGAGGGGCACGGGTAACCAGATCCATTTTGTCATGAAAGTCTGCTTTCTCTCCCCGTGCTTAACCAAGACCTGAGGCTGCACAGACCAACGTGCTCATTATCAAATTAAACAAACACGCACGGTATATATGTGAGGTTTTCAGACCCCCCCCCCCCTCATACCAATTAAAGACCCTCCTTCAGACAGTGCTGCAGGCCTGTAAAGTGTGGAGCCCAAAGTTAGAGAAATAATAAGAACTACAAAGAATATAAGCCGAATAACAAATTGACTCCATGGTGGGATGTGATACGTAAATTCCCTGATCCGCTTTTGGTGTTATGTGCCAGAGTGTTCTGGTTTCTGTATAATCAACTCAAGCCGGGCGCATGCTTCTGAAATACCTTTGTTGCTCCCATTTGAATAACCATGACGATTCTTGAAAATCTCAATAAATGACGTCTTACTTCCTGCCAATTAGCAAAAGAAATTCTCTTTCTCAATTTGCTGGCTTTGTAAATGATTAAATGATCGCATATGGCTGTTTTATTTGTGCGGTATATGAAAAGAGGCAGTGAAACTATAACTCTTTTAACGTAAAGCATAAATCTGCGATCCATCATCATAACTTACCAAAAGCATCAAACAGGATTGCAATAGTAACAACTATCGCTGCCAATGTAGGTACCACGTCATATTTTTCTCCATTTGTTTCCAACCTCTCGTCACTGCTATGTTCTCCAGCAATCTCATAAAGTTCTGTCTTAATCCTAATGCCCAAAGCAGCTGCAACTGGACCAGTGCAAAGCTGGGAGAAAGGCCCACGGAGGTCTACTGACTCGACACTTCTCGATCAACACTCTGTAGACAGCAGTGTGCACAGAGGAACCCGCAGAGTCCCTGTGGGGCAGGGGGGGGTTAGTCTGCTGAAGAATCCCCAGGCAAGCTTCACTAACCATTGACCAAGTCTCACATTCAAGAGACGCCCCCGTGCACGCACAGCCACACACACATTGAACAACCAGCAAGCGGTTCTAGTTAATGATACCCGCAAAATGCTCCTCAGACACGGAAGGAGCAACTGTTTTCCTCCTCGACGTTAAAGCAATATTGTGTTTGAAAATCTCACCGTTTCTTAACGAATGCACTTTTTTCTCCTAAAATAAGAATCTTCTGTCAAAGTGGGTCAGAAGAAAACGGAGCTAATGAAATGAGATGAGGCAGGAACAAATGGATTTTGATGGGCTTGACCTCAGACCTCAAACACACTCAGAACAGCATTTTCAGCACAAAACTGTTAGCTTTCAGATGATACCAGGGCAGTGAAATGCTAAAAAAAGTGCATTCTGTGCTGTAGGTCAGCTAGACTTTTCACATGCTGAATCAATTTTGACAATTGTAACAGAACTGTACTTTATCTTATCAGGAGAAGCCGGGGAATATGTCCTTGAGGACTTACAACTTTAATGATTTTCTGCCAATTGACACACAATTGAGCAAAAGTGACATCAGGCCCAACACCTAAATCCGCACATTAGTTTGATGTACAGTAACATTCTTCCTACAACAGCGGAACCTCATTCCTCAATCCACATAATCCACAAAAATATTCACGGTCTATGAACGTTGGGCCATCTGATCCTAACTGTGTCCCCCAAAAACTCCATTCTGGCTTAAGCTTAAGGAGATTCTGTGTGCCGGGTCTTTCAATCTATCACAGAGAGAACACCAGATGACACACCGACTACCTTAAAGTGTGCAAATGTGTGAGGACGTGCCTCGGCTATACGGCCACTTCGTGGCTAAGTGGGACTGCGGGGATGCGACAGGGGATTTATGAGTCACAATCGCCTCTCGCTGAGCTTCAAACGCGGAGGGGAAGTGATTACGGCTCTTAAGCTGCCGTGACATGGATATCTCCCGGCTCTGCAGCTCTCTGTCAGAGGATCATGCTTTTAATATGATTGTAAAGACGCTAGGAATGACACAGGCGCCTCAGGAATGTAACCTGTCGCTAATATCAATGACAGATGGATGCAATGGCCAATGGTCAGAAACTTGTATGTAAATATAGCACTTTTCTCTTTAAAAGGTACTGGCCGGGCTTCAGGCAAAAATAAGTCATCCAACATTTTGCTTGTTAACTGGAGTTAGTTAGAGTTATTCTGACATCAACTTGTTGAACTCAAAAACTGGGAATGAGGTTAAATGTTTTCGGAGTTGGAGGCGGCGGTTGACAGATTTGTAGTATAAAAGCGGGGTGTAAACAAAAGTCAAATAAAACAGGTAAAGGTGAAAGGCCTCATCAGGCCTTTTATTAGCTCAACAATCATCTAATCAACAACACCGAGCAGTTGGAGATGTAATCCCGGCAACATCAGCGCCATAAAAAGCCAGCGAGTAGAACTGCCCTATTTATACAAAATAATTGGCTAACCACCTTCACCCTAAGCCTCCTCAGACAACACTGTGTGGGATTAAGGACACACATCCACACCAGCCCGTGCCAGCTGGCACCAGACGAGGCGCTGGCAGGCTCAGTCTCCGACGAGAGAAGAAGTGGACCACTTCAACCTCACAGCTCTCAAAGGCCTCCTAGAAGCTCCGAACAATTTCGGATGAAACTGGGAAAGGACGGCACACTCGTGGTCCAACAGAAACACAGAGACAATGAGCTGCTTATGAATTCTAAGACGGACAAATAAATCCATACATGTCTGCGGTCCAACCAAGCAGGCGATGTCATGCCAACCGTTGGTTCCCGATCACCTAAAGTGGGCGGCACATTAATGATACATCAACATACCCCCACAGTGCATGAGAAAACACATGGAGGCAATAAAGGAACTGGCCAAAGATTATGCATGAAACCGCAATTAAAGTAACACTATTTTAAAGGTTCTCCTCTTCCTCCGGGTCTGAGAGTAAGACAAAGCCTCAGTTAACTACATGTTACCGCAAAGAAATACAACTAAATTAGAAGTTGAGAGTTGAATGGTGTTGGGTGCGCAATTGTACTTTGGCCACTTCTAATGAGAGCGCTGATGTAACCTTCAATTGAGATTTACTCGTGAGACGCGTCTACACCTCATAAGTGGTTTAGATGACATCACTTCTGTCAACGGGCCAGGGAGGCCAGGTATTTTAAGAGACATGAATGGATGAATGCCATGGAAACTCTGAGACGTTTAGTTACAAAAAAGGGCACTTAAAATACCACCACAGAACTGATAAAAGGACTGATTTCCATCTAAATGACTATTATAATCTATAAATGACAAATGCAGCAATGATGACATTTTTGGTATCTGAATTTATGAAGTCTATTATACTAATATTTCCTTTAAACTCGTTTTTCCTTTTCAAAGTGCTGACAGACCTGAGAAACTGATAGGCCCTGTTAGGTGCTTGGATCTGTCCCCTCGTTTCTTTCGACAGACCTGAGCACCTAATGAGAGCTGGAGAGCTCAATCAGCTGAGGCCCGGAGAAGGGAATGTTTCCCAAATTGCTCCTGGAACAAAATCCCTTCAATTCAAATCACTGTAATATAATCAAATTGGCTAAGGAATACAGCAGGATACTAATTTGGGTCCCATTAGTCAGGATTTAAATAAAGACTGTATCATTTTGCTTATTATCTTGCCCAAATATTTATATGTCTTTCTCCAGACTAATTATATTGATAATGTCTGACTTTTAAGGAAAATAATAGTAATTTTTTTCTCTTTTGAATCATTTGCCTTTCTGGTTCATAACGGCTCATTTGACCACTTGAACAACATGAAGAGTCAATAAGAGCATGGTGAGTAACTGGCGTTATCAACCTGCAGTAGCATTGTGTCTTTAACTGCAAACAAATATGGGAGCAACTGCAGTGCAGTGACAGAGAATGTTTTTCATTTCAGCCTGTTGTGTGCATGCAAACGTTTGCTTTTGTTTGGTCACACTGACGGAAATGATAAGAGAGTGAGAGAGTGAGTCAAAGGTGAGCGTTATCTTACCCTCCTTCCTCCTGAAATCCCTCCAGTTCATCTCTCTGCTCTGCCAGGGTGGACTCCAGGTCCAGGTAGCTTCCATTGTGGGACAGCTGGAGGGCACAGTCATCAGGCTGGACCAGAAGAAGACAAAGTTAAACACCGATCAGCATCTTCGACGCTCTAAAATCACGTTGTCGGCTTCACATGTAAAGAACGCTGCACATTGAGCGAGTATCGAATACCAAGTACAGCTCCTCTGATCTGATCCGTCCAGAACCTACGCAAGGAATCATATTAATCATAATCATAGAAAAAAAGGCAATACTGGTGGTCTATTTTGAAACAAAACTTTGATTCTCTAAATGACAACAATACTGCTCATTTTTTTATGTGTCAATGTTCTTCTGTGGAACATTTAAAGTTATTTTATCAGCTCCATTCACCACTACAATGAGAAGTAGGGCAAAGTTGGAAGCAGTTTATCTGTCTGATAAACTATCATGACACAAGAGGATTTTGCAGGGGAGGAATGATTTGTCTGGTCCAGAATAATTGTCAACAGCAGAGTGTGGTCGAGGAGTTGAGAAATTAGTTCTGTGTCTGCTCACTTCTCTGGCTGACCTCCGAATCGGAGATATTAACCTATTTATATTCCGGGTCTGTCAGCTCCGCGGGACAGCGTCTCCGACGGTGAAGCAGAGGACGGGAAAACAAATACCGTTAGCAAAGGGCAAACATATGACTCAAGGCTGGAGAGTGGTACAGCTCGGCTCCATCAACAGCCGTTCAATTCTGAAAATATACCGAGCGCGTACAACATTTGTCTTCTCCTGTTGGCTAACCTTGAGGGCTTTTGTAAGATAGCAAAGGCTATGATGCACTGTCATAAATTACCATTTACACAACCCAAAACCAAGATTTTCTTTCTCATGAATTTCCCATGTGATTTTTAGATTAGCGCGGTTCGATTTCCTCCCACCTATGACGGTGCCTCAAACGAACGGAAGGCAAAAGGCTGGGAAAGACATTATTGGTCCGACGGCTTTGATCTGTTAAGCCGCTCTGTTTGTATAACTGCACTCAAGCACTTAAAGACCATGTCTTATTTGAGAAGTGAAACAAACGATGTGGTTGGTTAAGATAACTCTTACTCTTTCTCCAACTACCCTGACGGTGAGCTGTATTGTTGGTTTTGCATGCACGGTAAAGCAGATCGGTAATAATAGTCGGGGAGATTACAGGGTTGAGCATCTTCATTTCTAGAGACCAGAGATGAGTTGAAGCACAAGCCCTGTGCGGTGCACGTACACAGGAGTTTAAAGTGCTCAGCAAATCCCGTTGTATATTTAAGGTGATGATGTGTCACGCTTTAGTTAGATCCTTGTTGATGCTCTTGCAGTGAGGCGGACTGAGACGGATGAAAAGAGACACATCTTGAGAGAAAGGTAGAGAGGAATGCAAACCAACAGAAAAGATGCTGTACACAAGCAGAGGAGGGAGGCAAGTGCTTCTCCAGATTAAACAGTAAATCCAGGCACTATTATGTCAATGGACTGAAAAAAAAACAATGGGCAGTAATGTGAAATGTAGCATGAAGGAGAAGACTATTTGATATACTCTGAAACCAAGAAAAAGTTGTTATTTAACAGAATGTTTGCTTTTTGGCTCCCTAGTGTTTAAATCACACAAATTGATGTCCCCAATGTCCAAATGTTTCAGATAAACAGTGTTGCTAAAGCATCAACATTAAAAAAAAGTACACAATAACATTAAACCAGAAATATATTGTCAATTTAACCATCTGGAACAATTTCCAAGTAATCTTCTCTAGCCACTAATCTGTATCTTCAAGGTGTTTAACATATTCACTTCTTATTTTTGTACCAAATAAAACTCTCTTGCTGCTTCTGCAAGAAGAAACCACACCAACCAATGGTATGAATTCACTAAATTGATCCGATTCATTATTACTGTATATTTTTTAATCTTTTTATATTTCACAACTCCCTAAATTGTAAAGTGCTGTTGTAGTTCGTTAAATGGGAGAAATGGAAAAGAATGTTTGTTCTCCTTAATCTTCCCGCCCTTTATCACAACCTGAAATAGACAAAGCATTGGGCTGAATTTGCAGCAGTAACCAGTAGTTATATGTGGAACCATGAAATGCTTTTCCCCTCACTAGGTTATGACGCACAGACCAAACGCAGAAAAGTCAAAGTTTACAGGTCTGCCATTAATCATCCATCTACTCATCCATATATTCCCGTATCCATCATCTAACCAGTGGTGCTTCAGGTTTTAATTATATTATAATTATATAATCACCCTGGATTACAAGTGCCAGGTCGATAAACAAAACTGGCCCCTAATCCAGGAGCAGTGCAACCAGATTATCAGCAGCAGAGCTTTGTTGGCCGCCCCCCGCCTGGGACGTGAACCCACAGTGGCCCGTGAGGGCCGAGTCCAGAGAGGGAACCACAAGTGCTCTGCTCACACACTGAGGTCTGGCCTCTCCCTTCGACCACCATATTGTGGTCCACTCACCAGGCAAGCAGTTGGGACAGAGCTAAGAGCTAAATATAAACCATGCAATTTCCAATTTAAAACTGCTATCTCACTCCAAATTTATTTGGAAAGAGAAAACATACACTATGTGCAAGATGGATACTGGAAACTCAATAGTCTAACGACTTTGCCTTTTAAATAGTTTTACAAATACTAATAGATTTTTGTTAGTCAATCAAGGAGAATTACACTTAAAAAGCCTAAAGTTTGTTCGGTGAAGGTGAAGATGTGGTGTGGTATTTCTCTGAAGGCAAGTGATTGACAACGCATTAAAACACACTTGACGCATGAAAGAGAAACCACAACAGTAATCTTCGGTCAAGCGTGCAGAAGATGAGTCTGCTCACCGACGAAGATGCATTCTTTTGAAAGGAGCCGTCTGCCGAGACAACCCGTCAAAACGCTGAGACCAGCAAAACCTCAACTCTGCGTAACAATTCACAAAATAATTCCAAGGAGCTTTGACAGGCACGGAAGTAACTCTTTTACAGCATTTAATTAAACTTCTCATTATAGGACTGTAATCTTTTCCGGAAAAGATGTTGCCCAAAGATGGAAATGAGTGAATGGGGAGAGTCCATTCTCCAGGTCCTGGCCACATTCTCTGTGTCTAGAACATTGCTTTGCAATCACATGCCAGGCCTCAAGACCACCAAGCCGCAAACTACAAAGCAGTGAACGAGAAGAAAGCCGGTGAAGGACTATTGATCTATGGATTTACGATGACATTATAAGTAGATCTGAAACAAGTCCAGCCATTTTTGAAAGAAACACAGTTACTTAGACATCTGTCGTTATTTATGACAGAATAAACGTAAGGGGATGACTCGTCATACTTTCCATCCAGAGACCAAAAAGAAAAGGTTGAATATTTGAATCACCATTAAAGCCCTCAACATATTCAACAATGCTGCTACAATGACAATGAATCCAATAATACAAATACAATTAACATGCCGAAAAAAGTAAAGAAATAGTGTCTATTACATTAAACGTTAAATACCGATTCAAAAACATGGTGGCAGCACATTTTCCGAAAGGCACTTCAAAGCGTATCTGCTGTCCCGACTGTTCAGTTTTTGCTGCACAACAAGCATTTATGGCTCGAATCCACGTTGTTTTAAAACATAATCCTTGGTCATGATGGCTTTTGATGTTTGAACCCCACCAACAGCTCAACGTAATTCATGTTTGACTTTTAAACAGCAGCGCGGCCCGTATGCCATCCCATGCACAAACCCTTGCAACACACGTGTATAAACAACCTCCCCTCCCACACACACGTACAGATCACCCCTCTGGAGACTGCAGACTGAAAGTGACTGGAGCAGCCCAGAGACCGCATATGTTAGCGGTTTTGACTCCCTCGACACCACGTGTTAGCAGCGTGCAATTTATACCGGATAGACCTGCACCCGAGAGACAACAGATTTGCTATCGAATGCATGCGCATGCACGCGCTCACGCCAAAGTCCCCTCTTCAAACTGCTGAGGGTCAGATCCTGAGACCTCAATGTGGGTTTCGGCAGCTCTCTGTCTATGCGGTCCAGCTGGCCTACTGCTAAACTGAGGACACTCCCCGTGCGAAGTACATCAGCTCTTTGTTTGGGTTTTTAATTCTGCCCGCTTCCCTCTCCTCTCTCAGACGGTGGAAATCGTTGCCGTCGCATCCGGCTGGTCAGAGTGAGATCGGCCGCAGAATGAGAACCAGGCTCGCGGTCATCCACAGCATCCTGAGGCTTCCGTGACTTATCTTACCAGCTCTACTCAAACAAGATGGAGTAGCATTGATCTGACAGAATGAAGGAAGACCCTAATTAACTTTCCATTTACGTGACTTCCCAACCAGATTGAGATAAATGCTTAATAAAAGACTCGGACGGCCCCTTTGCTTTGTTTGAATTTGAAGGTCAGTGGATGAACACACTGTTTGGATTCACTTAGTACAATCGGAAGGCAGAAACTGGCATTTCTCAAAACAATTAGTCTTCAGAGGCCTCTAAAAATAAAAAATAAAGGAAAATGGGCTTTGAGTTTACATTTGTTTGACCCTGCATTTCTTTAGGAAACACAAACAGGGCAATTTAGACCATACCAAAGAGCTTAAAACTGGCTGTGCAGTTGTAGTTTTTGGGAGGCAAACTGTTGAAACCAAAACAGACACAATGCAGCTGACCAAACACCACAAGGAAGACGTGCAAAACCCATTATGCTTCTAATTAAGGAAATAAGAAGAATATGCCAGTAAGATGCCAAATAATGTGTTGTGTTTCCACACGGCTTCAGAAGTTGCATTGAGATCAGATGGTTACAAACTCGAAACCCCATTACCCTCTTCGATCCCTCAACAACGGACCAGCTGGGCATTCGACACCAGGCTCTATTTGGGGCTTTGTAGAGACAATAGCAGAAGTCGTTCCCTACATAGACTTCAAGCTCATAGTTAAGGCAAGAGACACCCCATTGAAAGTCGATGAATGTTTAAAAGTGGACAAACAATGATCATTCATTGTCATTCATTCATTTTCAGTCAACCCCCCATTGCATTATCCTGTTGTATTTATTGATTTTCTCTCACAAAAACAAATAAAGGGCAGAAATGTTATTAAAAGTTTGAAATGCTCTCTCTGAAACTGGCGAATGGATAATAATAGAACCGGTCAAACGGAGAGTATTGGTGCTGTGGTTGAGGTAAACATTAACAGAACCCTGCTGAATAATGGTTTCTAAATCGTTCTTACATCACTTAACCACCTGATATTCCATGTGATAGAGATATCTTATCTATATGCTTGTCCTTAAAGAATGTTGATGCTCCATCAGCCACTGGATCTATCAACAGTCCATTAGGTTTGTTTACCGGTAACCTCACGATAATAATTAATGCAGGTCTTAACTTTCCTCTGAGCTCAAGAGACAATAACAAAACCCGCCGAGAGATTAATAAGTATACTGCATACCTTCTGCGGGGCTTTTAGCAGCCTGTGGACTCCAGCAATCTGATTGATCAGAGGAATATCTTCCCTGAACGTGTACAGAGGTGGCCTGGTGGGCTCGGGGAAGTTGGTGCTGTTAAATGGATCAGTGTCATCTAAGAACTGCACCCTGCACAGAAACGTAGCCATGGTGCATCCATGCAGGACGATTTTGGACAAAATAGTGGATGCGACACCACTTCTGAAAGACAGGAGACCCCCCACTCCCCTGCCCCCTGCCCCCCCCCACCCCCCCCTTCTCGCCTCCCCGGGGCAGCGAACTACCGGCAGGTCTTCTGCAGTAGCGCAGCCCTGCAGCCCTTCTGTTATCCTTGGACCTTCTCCATTCGCTTCACGCCGCGCAGAGGATCAGGACGACACGCGGTCCAGATGTAAAGATCCAGGGTCCCTCATGGAGAGACGCGGAGACGCGCGGGGCGGCGCTATCCGAGGACATTTGCGGGCGTTCCGGGGTGCTGAGGACAGACTGCGCGCACGGGACCGCTTCACTCGGCGTCTGGTCTGTGGGAGCGATGGGAAGCGGATCCCTCCTCCGCCAGAGGACACCGCGGCCAGACCTCAGCCGGCCGGCTCGGCTCACGTTACCGGCGCGACGGTGACCTCCGGCGGCGCAGTGCGGAAGTACAGTCAAAACAACAACAAAGCAAGAAAAGATGCACCTCGCGGGCAGCGACACAAGCGTGCAACTAAAACGGACCAACGTATGGAAAATATTCATTTCTTCCTATGAATGGAAAAATACCAATTAGAATCACCAGAATTTATTAACTAATTGTGTAATAGTAAACATTCTCTCTCCATGACAAATGTACAAAGCCCATGTCTGCTGACAGCTATTGGAGTTATGAAAATGTTTTTTTTTTGTAACACGCTGTTAACTGTGTTGTCATTCATTCTCCAAACAAATGTTCTTCTTCTGTCGATCTTAAAACAAGAGGAATAACTGTGCATTTACCTTTTCTCGTTGTAAATTTCTTCCCCAGTTTACAATTACAAGAATCCACACCTCTAACCGCTGCTCTGAATAAATCTATTACAGAGGTCCAGTGGACTATTAACATCTCAGCACTGCATCACTACAATACTACAGCGGTCATGAAGTTAAAACTGGCCGATCCTGACTTGGAGGAAAGGATATTATCCAATCAGCAGCTGCACAAGCTGGAAGACGCTGGAGACAGATCGAAATGGGACAAGAAGACGCAGTACACGCTGACCTGTGTTAGGAATGAATGACACGTATCAGTACAAGGCATTTTATATATAGTGTTTTTGGTGAAACGGTCTGATAAGGAACTCGATACATGATACACGTTCTCATGAGTAACTGATGGTCGGTAATTACCGTTGAGTGAAATGACTCAAACAATGTGCAAATAGAAGTATTTTAGGTTATCATGAAACGATTCAAAAGTAGCCACAACATTTTCTCCTGGGCTCCTTATTACTGCTGTGTCATAGAAAAATCAACTGTTATCGCTCCTGTTATCAAAGTCATATTACACAAGCGCTTTTACTCAAACAAACAAACCATATTGCTCTTAAAAAAAGGCCAACAAGATTAAAAAATCTGATAAAACAAATGACGCCCCTTCGTCCACTGTTACAAGCAGGTAACAATCAACAGTCACCAGTTTCTTTGTTTTTCTTCAGACAGAGTGGACAAGATTTGCTTTATTTAAATAAACTGAAACAAAATGGACAAAGAAGTCATGGACGGAGAAGATGAAGGTTGTGAGCAGACGCAGGTTACAGAGAGACCAAAATGGGACAACAAAGTCCAATATTTGCTAACCTGCATAGGTTTTGCTGTGGGGCTTGGGAATGTGTGGAGATTTCCATATCTGTGTCAAATCTATGGTGGAGGTAAGCATTTCATTTACCGTGTGGTTCGTAAAGTAACATAAGAAACGCCTTAAGTAAAGTAGACAGCCACATAAAAACAGTTGTACTTCACTGTGGCACGATAACACAATAGTCACACCTTATTTTGGATAACTACTTTTTACTTTAGCATTTAATTGACCATTACTCTCTATACTAGCAGACAGGTTCTCAGATATGCAGAAATAACTTTGCTCTGACTTCATGCTGTACGTATCTGTTTTGTCAAGCACACTATTGACTCTGATCACTCAGCTTTTCAAAATATCTGACAATTGTGTTACATTGTGATACTTGGGGGGAGATGCATTGCAGTGGGTCTAACACCTTTGTTTCCTGTTTTTTTGTAGCTGTGTTACTTACTTACTTAAGATAACACAAACTTTGCTACCATACAACATGAATACTTACAACCCATGGATATTTATTAAAAGTTTTCACAACAAAATATACAATAAAGATATTAAATGCAGAGGGAAACCATCGATGTTGCACACACCTGTATGCCAGCTGTTTAGATATATTGCCAGGATTGAGTGAATGTGACAAAGCTCTGCTGGATGATAATAAAGTGTCCAGTAATCACAAACTGAAAGACTTTCAACTATAAATTTAATGCTGATTTTTAAGTAATAAGCTGAAAGACCGTGGTGTATTGTTTAATTATCAGCTCTATTTCAAAGGGGCGTTTTTGATTCCTTACGCCATTGCCTTGGTGTTTGAGGGACTTCCTCTCCTGCACATGGAATTGGCCATCGGACAACGGCTCCGCCTGGGAAGCGTTGGGGTGTGGAATTCAATCTCCCCTTATCTCGGTGGTTTAGGTAAGAAGGCCTGTTATCAAGAGTGGCGGAGGAAATGTTCAGATGCCTTTTAAAAAATGTCTGTATTGGAAATGTTATTCAAGTTAAAGTTTTTCAGGAAAATGTACTTAACAGCCACCGTACCAGCACCGTACCTGTGTTACACGTCTGTGTGAATAATGCCATTGTGTACACACAGGTGTAGCTTCCATGTTAGTGTCCTTCCTAGTTGGTCTGTTCTACAACATGATCTTGGCCTGGATCCTCTGGTACTTCTTCCACTCCTTTCAGAGTCCACTTCCCTGGAGGGGCTGCCCGTTAAACTTGAATCATACGGGTAATTGTGTTTTAAGCATAATATTAATCAGCAAAAAGTAAGACGTGTGTAAATCATTAATCAATCATGTTGAATGTTGTCTTTGATACAGGCTATGTCAGTGAGTGTGAGATGAGCTCACCAGTGAACTACTTTTGGTACCGTGAAACGCTGAATATCACGCCGAGCATTGAGACCAGTGGGTCCTTGCAGTGGTGGCTGGTGCTGTGTCTTGCATCTGCTTGGTGCCTGGTGTACATCTGCTTCATACGTGGAATCGAGACTATTGGAAAGGTAATAATAACCGCAGAGCTCAAAAAGTGTTACATGTATTTGATATATTAAATAATTGCAAAATGTAAGAAGAGAAAAGTGCATAGCGATATAGATCCCTCCAATTTATCCAAATTCAAATTCTGACTTCAACCTTCATTGCTGGCAAATATTCCCTACGCAGTCTCAGCATCAAAACTATTTCAACAGGCTATTTACGTCACTGCCACCTTTCCATACCTGGTTTTGACCATCTTCTTGGTCCGATCCTTGACACTGGATGGGGCCACAGACGGCTTAATATATCTCTTTACGCCAAAAGTAAGTTTGTCCTTCGTATTGAAATGAAGTCATGACAGAACCGGTTGAGTAAACTGACAGTTATTATTACATGTATTACAGTGGGAAACGCTGAAAGATCCTAAGGTCTGGTTGGATGCTGCTACTCAGATCTTTTTCTCTTTGTCTTTGGCCTTTGGGGGACTTATTGCTTTTTCCAGCTATAATGTTCAGAAGTAAGCAACACATTGTCATTCATGACAGAGAGTATAATGTACAACATGAACCCTTTAAATAACGTAACATCTTTGCAGGAATGATTGTGAGAGAGACGCCCTAATTGTCGGCCTTGTGAACAGTTTTACGTCGCTATACGCAGCGATCCCTATTTTTGCTATTCTGGGATTTAAGGCGAAGGAAAACTACAATGAATGCCAAAATTGGTATGTACCATATAATGTAATTTTAATTTCTGCCATTCACATTCAGCATGATTGTTATATCATCATACTCAATCATGAACTGTCCCTTTAATATAAAAAATAAATAAATGTTTGTGATTGTTACAACCCTCTCACTTTGGGAGGGTTGCATTAATGTTTTCAACTAGCACAGAAAACTCATTATCTCAAATAATAAATAAATAAATGATCTTTACTGGTAGCGATGCTTGTAAAAGAAAGTATTGAAGGATTCCTTTTCTGGTTGATTTCAGGAACATACTGACACTGACTAATTCCTTCAGTATTGGGGATAAAAACATAACTGTTGAAAACTATGACGACTGGTTAAACTACCTCAATGCAACTAATCCTTCAGAGGTTGAAAGCCTCAACCTAAAGACTTGCAACCTACAAACCTTCTTGGACCAGGTGCAGCACATCTCTTACTATTGAAATAACGTTTTCTTTCTGTGACGTTTTGTGAGTGTGCCTGAGATTACATGTGTCAAATCCCACCTGCAGAGCGTCTCGGGCACCGGACTGGCCTTCATCGTGTTTACTGAAGCGGTGATAGAGATGCCAGGCGCTCAGGTGTGGGCGGTGCTCTTCTTCGTCATGCTCTTCAGCCTGGGCCTGTCCTCCATGTTTGGCAATCTGGAGGGTGTCCTGACTCCTCTGCTGGACCTGCACGTGATTCCATCCTGGATTCCAAAGGAAATTTTCACAGGTAAACAGAAAGATCTCCTCACTTGCGTGTGGTGGTTGTAATCATGGCATTTGGGGCACTGACCACATTAAGTTCATATTGTAAACAAAGTTAAGTGAAAAATATGTACTACTTTCTATATTTACCAGTGATAATGACACTTACACAAATGTTACATGTGAAATCCCACCTGTTGAGTAAGAGTAAATCTGTTTTTTGGGTACAATATATAAAATGTGATATGCACCCTGTAGCTAAGCTTCCTGGTGTAAATTTTCTTTCCATGTCTAACTGTGTCTCCACATGTGAACTACATATTGTTAGCATGTCAAAGTATAAACATTTTTTCAGATAGAAATAGCCTTTGAAAAGGTTTTTGTACAGATTGACTTAATTCGATATTAAGCAGCATAATTTGAAGCAAAATCCATTTCCTGTTTTTTTTCCTTGTTTACCTACAGGGTTGATTTGCCTCACCTCCTTTTCGGTGGCCCTCATCTTTACTTTGGGCTCTGGAAACTACTGGCTGGAGATTTTCAACAGCTACGTGGGCTCCGTGCCTTTGCTCATCATAGCCTTCTTTGAGATCATTGGTGTGGTTTACGTCTATGGAATAAACAGGTGATGTTGTTATAAACGTCACTAGACTTGCAATTTGAAAACCTATTTGAATGCATTGACGAAGGGTTTCCCTTTGCCCACAGATTCAGTGACGACATTGAGTGGATGACAGGTCGGAGGCCTAATATCTACTGGCAGGCCACTTGGCGCTTCATCAGTCCGCTCATGCTTCTCGTGGTTTTTGTGGCATACGTTGTAGTTGAGGCTGAACAACGACCAACATATAATACCTGGAATCCAGATTACGTAAGAAAGAGTTTACGCTTACTCCACAGCGGCACTCTGCAGAACTCAATACATTTGGTGCGCAATAAAAGAAAGACATTAACTTTTCACTCTGTAACCCCTGCAGGTCGACTTCCCCCTCGCTGACGTTCAGCCCTATCCGGAGTGGGTTTTTGCCATCTGTGTGCTCCTATCTGTCCTTCCTGTTGTTTCAATTCCTCTTGTGGCTCTCTACAAATTCTTGGGCTTCCTGCAGGAATACGGAATGAAAATGCGTAACTGAAATCCATATGTAAATTAATTATGTCAAGAAGGAGTTTAAATTACACTTTTTAGCCGTTTTATACGGTATTATCATCTACTTGTGGTACATATTCGGGATGTTTTTTTTTTCATCCTTTGTACAGTATGGTACAACAACATTTTATTCATAGTAGTTCAAATGAAATTATCAGTAACTGTGGTATCAGTATATTAAAAATAAAGCTTTTCTCCCCCGATTCACACAAGCGTATTTGTTTTGGTGAAAGAAATGCAAACACTCTGCGAGATCAAATCAACGAAGGATAATATCTCTGGGGAAATATTAACAACAGAATATAAAAGACTAAAACTAAATATCAAGTTTGTGTTAGTATTTGAATTAAGACAAAGAACACAATTCTTTTCCTCTGTTACTGTAATGTTCTGAATGTGAATAAAGTCACATCCTGTTCTGTCTTTGGAATCGCTTTTGATATGTGATATTCTTTCTACCCTCTGTTACCCGCAAGTGAGTGAGCAAGTGTTGCATGTGTCCTTTATCTAACTCTTTTCATGTCAACAGTGCATGTGGGTGTATGACACTAGTAGAGGGGTTCGTGTGTGTGTGTGTGTGTGTGAGGGTGCATTCATGTGCTCACTGACCATGCGCATGTGTGTATTTTGAACCATACAAGTTACACAGTTGTCCTTTTTGTGGTGTGGGTGGACACTGATATTGTCCCCCCGGTGTCACATGCTTTGGAATATGCTGGCTGCCTTTGTTGTCCCTCTGCCTGTTCTGCTCTTCTGGCATTTTCATTCAATGGTGCACTTGAACACTGTGATGTTATTAAGCCTTTCAAACTACTACAGTATGAATTCCAGCTCTTAGGAAAGACGAACACCCCAATGTAGGGCACATGGAACAAGACAAAACATCCAGGGTATAACAGCAAGGATTGAGAGCAACACAAGAACCAAGGTGATTACTCAGCCCGCTTTAATTATCGTCTGTTTAAGAGCGCATTTATAGAGCTATGCATGATGATGTCACACTAATGCTACTCTTACTGGTAAATTGTGTTGTTTGACATGCTTTTTTCCATTTATCTCATCCGACTTGTTATCCGTGGCAGCAATTATCTAAGCCGTATTCAAAGTGTAACTGGTGTGAACAAATTCAGATGAGGAGTATTGAGTACATATACTTTTAAATGTAAACATAATACAGTTGAAGAATTATGCTAGTAAATTAATGAATTTACTAGCAATTCATAGTTCATAAGTACCTGGCATTCTCACTTTTGTTACATAACGTTGCTGGCTAGGAAAAATAAATTGTTTATTTAGTAAGTTAATACAACGTGTCCACTTTATTTATTAAAGTTTTTTAATAAATGAATAACCAATAATCTCCAAATCGGTCTAACATTCTCGTGGTCATCAACAACAAGTGGGGTAGGCGTATTTAAAAATGATCCCAGCGTTGCAGTGACCTGCAGTTCTGAAAGACTGTACCATCAACAATGGGGCCAGAGTGCAACAAGTTCAACAATTTTATGACCTATAATCCTTCACTAGGAAATGTCCCGGCAAGCAGACGCCTCCCAATGTGGGGGGGTTGTGGTGGAGTTTCAGTCTAACGACATCAGGGATGCAAGAGCAAATAGAACCAGGAATATACCAGGTGAACTCTACTTCAGTCAAACTAGAAATCGTGTCGTGTGTTTGTAGCAAACATGTGTGCTCATCAAGTTTTGAATGCAATTCTTCCAAAGGTTCAGCTCTTATCTACCTCAAGGGTCCCAAGTTCCTCATCTACGTCAGTGGAGCATTGTCAATGTGGGTAAGAATCATTTCCTGAAGAAACAAATTCCTGGAGAAATAGGCAAAACATTGAAACTTAAATAAATGCAAGGTAGCCCACTTACTGTATGTCTTGTGACTGCATACGTGCAGCACCTCGCAAAACGATAATGATGCACCTCCATGCTGTGTCGAACAGGGGGACCGCATGTGGCACTTTGCAATTTCTGTGTTCCTGATTGAGCTGTACGGCCGTAACCTGCTGTTGACTGCAGTGTTTGGGTTGGTGGTGGCTGGGTCAGTGCTCCTTTTAGGGGCTTTGATTGGAGACTGGGTTGATCGCAATCCCAGGAACAAAGGTATGCAGCAATTTCACCGGATGTGCGAGGTTAAGTCATTCCCTGATTTGAGTCTTTGTTCAAACCGACAATGGCTTTGCTTTAAAAAGGCTCTAATGTTGTGAGAGTCTAAGACTGTTTTTTTTTCTCCTCGATTTAGTTGCACATGCATCTCTTTTCATCCAGAACATCTCAGTGACAGTATGTAGCATTGTGCTCATGTTGGTGTTCTCATACAAGCAAAGGATTGAACAGATCTGGGATGGATGGCTTACTGTGAGTAGACGTCGCATGTTGATCTGCAAACAGAATACTCACCGTGATTATGAAACAGAGGAGTTATTGCTGCTGTTGTTGTTGTTCCCTCTGTCCCGTGTCCCTGTTGTCTCTGCTACTGAGCGTGTGGCTTCTCTGTGCTGTCAAAGTAACATGTTGCATCGCAAAACTTACACAAGGTGGTTTGTTATACGGTGGTGATCGTCCTGGCAGATGTGGCAAACCTTGCAAGCACAGCACTGACCATTGCCATTCAGAGGGACTGGATTGTGGTTATCACAGGCTACAACCGAGGTCACCTTGCTGGTGAGGCGATCAATCGTCTGTTCCTGCGCACGTTCGTTTGCATTGCATGCTTGTCACAACAGTGCTTGTGCACAAGACATATTTGTATTACAGATAATATTTTCTTTAAGCTCTTGCTGATTGTCCCGTAGCGGAAGCACATTAACCTCTGTGTCTTTGGTCCTTCAAAAGGGATGAACGCAACCATGAGGCGGATAGATCAGGTGACTAACATCCTGGCCCCACTAGCAGTGGGACAGGTCATGACCCTGGCCTCCAATGTAGTCGGCTGTGGCTTCATCCTAGGCTGGAACCTTGTGTCTCTCATCGTGGAGTTCTTCTTCTTGTCCCGGGTGTACCGCATCGTCCCCGCTCTATCAGTCAAACCGCCAGTGATGGAGGTGGATCAGGTATATCTGCCGAGTCTGGAGAGGACGATGCCACAAGGTATGGAATGTGTGATTCTTTTTGTGTTTTTTATTAAGATTTTTGACCCCCTCCCCCCCACCCCTGCCCCCTTGCATTTACAGATTTTATGAGAATTACTGAAAATGAAAAAACAAATTGTCAAAATAAGATTGTGAGCTGAGCATTAGGTTAAATTAATGAACAATGCTTTCTTGTAGTTGCACCATTGCTTCAATTCTATTCAAATCACTCTTGCATCAGCCTCTATTACCACTTGTCTCAAGGTCAAGGCTAAAATATAATGACAGTAATTATTCACTAAATTGAATCAAAATGCTTCAATAGCTTGTCCGGATTGTCCAATAGATATCATTAGAAGTATTGATGTGGGGAATGATTTTCAAAGAAATGTAAAATAATATATATTATACATATATGCAGTGAGCTAAACAGCTTACTAATCACACACTGGTATCATACCCGTGTTTTGGTTTTGGCCAATACCCAAGCTAAGGTAGTAACAGGACTCTAAAAAGTCAGATATTTGCATTACTAGTCTGTTTCTGAAGGATGACGTGGATTCTATCAACACACAATGGGCCTTTCAAAATGGATTACATTCCTTTTACTTATCAGGGGAAGATAATGCTGCAGAACCACAACCTCTAACCGAAGGGAACTGCAACACAAGCCTGCACATAAAAGAAATCACCAACCTGCCGCTGTGTTTCCGGCGGTTTCGCTGGTTGATGAGCACCTGCAAGGACGGCTGGAGGGCCTACTACCGCCAGCCTGTCTTCCTGGCAGGAATGGGTCTGGCCTTCCTCTACACCACCGTCCTGGGTTTTGACTGCATCACCACCGGCTACGCGTATACTCAGGGCATCAGCGGCTCCCTTCTCAGTCTGCTGATGGGCGTCTCGGCTCTCACAGGGCTGATGGGCACTGTGATGTTCACCAGACTCAGGAAGTCCTACGGCCTGGTTAACACGGGCGTCATCTCAAGCTGCCTCCACCTGGGCTGCTTGCTGCTGTGCGTGTGCTCGGTGTTTGCCCCCGGCAGCCCCATGGATCTTAGCTTGCTGATGCCCTACATCAACTCCTCTACCGAGCTCGGAGGGATGACGAGCCAAAGGCAGAAACACACTTATCCTCTTAGGGGGAGCAGCAATCAGCCGCTGCTGCCAGACCGCTCCTCCATCCACTGGACCAACAATACTGTGCTCTTCGACAACGTGCCCTCTGACACGGCGCCAGAATCGTACGTCTCCATTATCCTTCTCTTCTTGGGCGTCATCACAGCACGAATCGGTGAGTAAAAGGACATCCGGGGCTGACTGGTTTTAATGCACATAAATACTGAAATTAGTATTTATGTAATATTAAACTAAAATACAAGGGAATACTGTCAACTGAAGAGCTTCACCCACCGGCATACAAATACTATTAATTTATAATGAATATATTGGTTTTGGGCGATTAATAAAAAGAAATGGCAGCACAAAAATGGCAAAGACATGATTACGGTCAATAAGATAGTGATAGTGCCATTCCATTGTCCATCCACCAGAGAGCGCTGTCAAAAAACTGTAAAATGTCAGAATTCTTTTTTTACAGTAGGTATTCAATCATTTAATCGATGACATGATTCCCCAAAAGACAGTTAGAAAAACCGCTGTTTCAATCAATTAAATTCACATAAATTACATTTTTGTGTGAAGAGCTGTATAATTGAAGAGCTTTTTTTTTTACTACTGGCTAATTTAATGGCCAGGGCAACTTTTAAAACCCAATGACATGTGTGTTTTAGGTCTGTGGTCCTTCGACCTGACAGTGACCCAGCTCCTGCAGGAGAACATCTGTGAGTCAGAGAGGGGCGTAGTAAACGGTGTGCAGAGCTCCATGAATTACCTGATGGATCTGCTTCACTTCATCATGGTGATCTCTGCTCCACAACCGCACCACTTTGGCATCCTGGTTATCATTTCTGTATTATTCATCACCACTGGGCACACTATGTACTTCCTGTACGCACACAAAGTTAAGAGAAAACGCCGTCACTGCACATAAGGAGCAGTCTCATCGAATCTACTCCCGACTTAGCCATTCGTTTCATCACAACACAGCAAGTGCCTGTCCCACCTCTGTTGCCCTCTTCCTGCCGTAGCAGCATACAAGAACTCAGGTGAAATACAGTGGGAGACGCGCTCTCCCTTTGTGTACATAAGTTGAGGTGGCTTCAGTAAATGCAGCACTGGTACCTCAAGGCGAGACATCCTGGTCTAGTGTACAACAGGACACACACGGGTAGCAGCTCAGGCACCTGCAAACCCTGAAGGATCACTGCATCACCAGCCTGGTAACTTACAGTACTTAGCTTTTTGGATGGGAGGGTGGATGGATGGAGAGCTTCTTCTAACCGTCACTCGGTAAAGAACTGGTGTTGTGAAGAAAATCGAACAGCGATACACGAGAATGGGAACAAGACGAGACAGTAGTGGCATCAATGTTACTGATCCGTCCACTTGGAAATATTCCAGGGTGTCCAAAGACAAACATAAAGGGAACTCAATGTCAGATTGTTTGACTTAGAAAAGAAGATGAATCTGAAAGGCAGTTCCCCCTTTAAGTGGACATAAGTGGAAAGAAATGTATTTCCTTTCCCTGGTTTGTTTCTCTGTGGATGAATCAAGCTGATAATTTGCAGGTAAACCTGGTTTATGCATTAAAACAACAAACATGATCAACTCACGCCATGTACTTTTATCACAAACTATTTTATTCTAACTGCTTGTGTACTTTGATAAATAAAAAAGTAGTTTCCAAACTTTTTTTCCTTCCCATATAAAGAGTGATATTATTAGTTTTATAGACATCCAAGAGGAAACCAATCTTCATTTTGTGACATGTTTGAAATCCGTGATAAGTCAATAGCAAATGTTGATCACTGCTGTTGGCTGTGATGTATTACACATTGCTTCATTCTTTTTTAGTTCCGATGAACTAAACCCTACCTTACCTCAACTAAGAACATGAACATTGTTGGGAATATCTCTTGGGAATTACTCTCAGCTACTGTGTGTCTTCATATCTCCTTCTTGTACAGTTCGAAACAACATCAAAGTTAAACCTTCTGTCATGCAACCAGCAACACATCTCCATATATTTGTATAATTTCGCTGTTCATTTTCTGTATTGTATTGTATTTTTCAGACTGATTATTATGACAATAAATAAGACTGAAGATGATCTCAAGTATTCTGATCAATTAATACCCAAATCAATATAGGTCCTGTGTAACGTAAAATTGCAATAAATTGGACCTCCAAATATGGCTTAAAACTGTGTGTCAATGTAGTCAACGTATTTGATGAAGGCAAACATTTACACAAGGGTATAAGATTTCCTTTATTAGTCCTTGAACCTGCAGTTGAATGAGCAGAACGCTTGTATCGTTAATTCATTATCTATCGGAACCACTAGTTGCAACCGCACAGCTGTAATGCACGTAGGTAGAAACACTTTTTGTGTTACAGAGAAAATGTAAGACGGAAAATAAATCAAAACTTTTACACATAAATAGGGACTGGGGAACGTGCAGCAGCGATATGCAAATGTGAAGGGTTTCTGTGGCCAGTAGAGGTCAATGTCACATTAAATGACCATAGCCGTTTATACAGTATGCGCATTATCACCCTAAAAATAATGCAAAATGCATACTACCTATCTCTACTCTCAATAGTTGGCACCTCCACAGAGTTATTACTATAATGAAAACTAATAATCGCTGGATGACATATAGATGTGGATGGAATAAAAACACACGGGGGACAGCATTCAGAATGGAAGGCCATGGAAATCTACTTTGTGTAGTAGATGAGACATTTTTAATTCCAGCTGGTTGAGACATCTTTGAAGAATACAGAAAATAGCAGTGTTTTCAAAGTTTGGGCTTAACAATAGAAAGGCAGATATCTTTTCCACAGAGGTGTAGATGGGCGTATTCTGTGTAGCTCTTTAAAGTTCCTCAATGCTTTTCATATTGTCCCCACCACGGTGTCCTAAAACCAGCCTCCATGTCTGAAACAACATTACCGGGGATAACATCTCTCCCGTGTGTCATTTTTAGTATAAAATGTCAATAATGCAGAAAACATTGGTAGGATTTATCACAGGTGATGTTATTGCTATCTGCTATGAAGCATCATCTGTCATTTTTATGACAATGTGCAGCTGTTGAATTGCTGAACTCGACTAGATTTTAGTATGGAAAGCATGTACTGCAACATGCTCAGTAGAGTTTCATCACGTTTTACTCTTTCGCAGCGCCGCGGGGCTACAGTAACGGAGTACGGCCCGTGGTCGTCATGGTAGCCCCCCCGGATGAAGACGACATTTTTTTTTAGAGCAAGCTCGCTAACAAGTCTGACTTTAGGCATTCTCACTTTGCAATTCATTGACTTGAGAAAGTGGGTCAGTGGAAGCACATTAAAGCTGGAGTTGTGCTCCTGGCTTTGTTTTGCTCAGAAGGAGCAGGAAGGAAGACGCGTTGCTTTTAGGCGTAGGAGAGCCTACTTCTAGACCACAGTAACATACAGTGCAGTGGCCGTGCTTACAATCGAAACGGGATTTAATGAAGAACGTGGCAAGATCTTTTTTTTTTATCTCAAACAAAGAAATATTGATTTGCTGAGGACAATTTAATAACACGTACTGTTTTATTTAAAGATCTGTGAGAAGCAAAATGGGGAAGCTTTATCTGCGCCTTCGTATTGAGACTGCAACTAGAATTCATTAATTAATTAACTTTAAAATGGGGGAGTGGACATCTTCCCAATCATTTACTTTGAAATAAGTAAAAGGCATTGACAAATGATGGGTCTCAGTACCACATGAATGAGAAACACCACCAAGAGGGGACCTTTTCTCATTCTGCAGTTTGCTGTATCAGCAGTTTGGAACAGCGGCACAATTGAATGGCGTTGCAAGGACCCAGTCAAGCATCACATTGCTGACAGAGGGGGAAAAGATATAACACTAATAGATAAAGTGTTCATGGGAAGGATTAATGTGCTTGCTCCATACTTTGGTCAATAAATGCAGGACCACGCTGGCGCTTCTGTGACTGCGCTAAGCAGCTGACAGGCTTCATTTAATTAGAAAAAGTCTGACAAGTCGGCGATCTTTAAAAAAAAGGGACACTTTGTGCTTGTAAAAGACTAAATACAACAGCTCGTGGACACCTCAACAAAGCTTTGCCTGACCCCATTAACAAGCTCTAACAGAGCTGAAAAAAACAAAAGAACTCGTAAGGTTTTGTTGCTCTGGTTTTCTGGTTCACTGTAACATATTTTTCGTAGTGGATATATATATATATATATATATATATATATATATATGCATATATATATAAATACTTATATGCTTTTCGACCCAAGTTCAGTCACCATCCATCTACATCGTTCGGTAGATTGTAGGTTCATAGGTCTGTAATAAAGTTACTGCTGTCACCAGAGCTCTTCACACAGTCTCCTTGGTTTGTATTAACTGTTAACAGTTTTATTACATTCGTTCTGTAATATTGACATAACTGTTGACTATACTACTACCCGGATGTATTCATTCAAGTTACTCTTAAATGATACAGTTGTGCATGAATGTGCTGATTCTGTGCTCGTGTCTGAACGACTTTAAACCCCCACACATACAATGAATCCCCACCCACAGACGCGTTTTACCCTCCAGTGTAATGTACCCTGCCCAATCCTCAATCCACACTCCCTCCTGCTTTTGGGACATTTCAAAACTTCCTTTTTTGGGGCTGTCCAGCTCACCAGATGTTTCCTGGAGCCACCGTGTCCCAAACTCACTCCCCTCCCCACCGGTGAAAAGCAGGCAAGAGATGGAGAGAGAGGGAACCTGTCATCCACTCTCAGTACAGCCGTGCACGCACAGACTTCTGGAGTCCACTTGGTGAAGTCTGACCGCCTGTGACTCCCCCAAATCCAAGCTGACCAAGACATAGGGAATTTATTTTGGCTGCAGTGACAGAACCCTCTCTAACACACCTGGAACAAAACATACATTATTCATACAGTCTTTTTTCAGTAGTAGTCTGAGCTCACAAGCAGCAGTTGTGCAGTTTTACCCGGCGGGCAGCCAGTTGTTTTGCGAGCCTGCGATGTCGTGGGACTGTGGCCTCAGGTACATGTTTTCCGTCTCGCCTGCGTTGCAGCCGGGGAGCACGTGTGTCCTGCGTGACAAGGAGGAACTGTACAGACTGGAGGTGATCCGCAGACTGGCCAAGGATGGCTGCCGCTTGCTGCAGGACCACAAGGGCTCAGAGAGGTCGAGTGAGGTGAGACGCACGACAACCACTTTGCAATTAGAACATTCACTTTCATAATGTTCAGATTACATGAACATCCATGAAAGAAGAAAAATGTTTAGAAACAGCCAGATTCACAGTCGCAGTGTGAAATGGCGGACTCTTGATGCAGTTCCTTATTGTTATTTAATAACCGTTATCTGTGGCCTCGTTAGAGTGGAAACATCAGTCAAGCCGCTAATTAATAAGTTCTCTTCATAAGATTATGAGCCCTTCTCAATTAACCAGTTACTCTGTCCATGCATATTCAGCCCTCAACACCATTTCTCACACTCCCCGTATTGGCGGGCTTTTAATCTGTTTTTTATTGGACTCCCTACATTCCACAGTGTCTCTGCCTTCTCTGAAGATGAATGGTGTCGTTCAGATCTGCACAGACCACAAAGAGTGTCCTTATATTCAACATCTTAATAAGTCTCTAGTGGCTTCCAAAGGGATGTACAAATTAAATAGATGTATAGAAGATTTCACACTATATTGTAGAAACATGTGTGTATAATTGCACTGCAGCCAATACATTATCTTGGTCTATCTTAGTCGCAGTGTAATCTATAGCGTACTATTGTATTCCAATAGTACGCTATAGATTACACTGCGACTAACACGGACTATGTTTGTCCGTGTAGTGTAGCACCAACCTTGACATTATAAATACTGGTACTAAATGTTCAGTTCGGCCTGCAAACTTTAAAAAGACATTACATCACCTGCTAGCTGGCTGCCAAGGAGAGATCTGATTGGCTGACCGTATTGTGGTGCTCAGCTTCTCCCTTCCTGCCTGCTGGGTCTGCGTGCTGAAATGAACAACAATTGCCGGAAAAGTTGACACAAGTGGCCGAAGTGACGTGCCAAGACATTGTATGGCTTTAGGGTGGATTCCAGTGCATTGAGTAGAAGACCTTTTCGGCAAAAGAAAAGGATAGATCTCCTTATCGGTGTTTTTAGTAGATGTAATGACCTTTTGTCTGCGCTAAACCAATGCCAATCTGCGCATGTCGGTGCCGCAAAACTCAACAATATGTGTTTTAGTAAGTTTAGTAATCTTTGTTGTTTTCGTAAGTTTTTTACATCGATTATGTACCAATGTCAGCTGTGTATGTGTCATGTATGTAAATCCGAATATTAATGTCCAGATAAAATTATGCTTAATGCTTAAAAACATAACATTAAAATATTAAGATTATTTGAGATTATCGGCAGTGTTTCTGGATTATATAACGGTTTATAGTAATCCAATGGTGCTAGAATCCATACCCGGAGTAAATTGTGAGTGGTGTATATATATATCTAAGCCTAGATAAGAGCATTGAAATCAGCTTGACTGGCAGACACAGATATACTACATACTATCGGAAGTATCTGAATATGTATGTCATGTATGGGACATTCAACATCTTTCATGGATGTTCACTTTTCAGTCAAAAAAACAAAGATCTCGACAGCTAAACACAGTAAACAACTGTATGCATACACCCACTACATTCAAGAGTGGACTATTCAGAATTAATTTTACAGTAAAAGCCCATTAGGTTTAAGGTAAGAGTTTAAGTTTTGTCCGATTACGTACTCACTGTTTTTATGTTACATTTGACACATTTGTAATATCTTACATAACATTATTTCATCAGTCATATTCTATTTTCCTTTGCTCAGAGCATCTAGAACAAAGATTATGTGCAAATATTTTACATCATTTGCATCATTTTTTTTTTGCAGGACATTATTAGAGCTGAACCCGTGAATTTCAGCTAATTACCATTGGAAATAATGCAGTGTGTCTGCATCAAAGGGTTCTTTGACAACATTACACTAATGTATGAATCTCTGGACTAATTCTTCCTCCATGATGCACACTGATCCTTGAGAGGAATTTAATTCTCTCTGAGAAAAATTCTCAGAGAAAAGACGGGAAAGATTGGCGGGCTGCGTCTTTGGGAAGCGGCCTCGTGAGGAGCGTTCGCTCGCCTGCTGACAGCGTCCATGTCGGCGGCGGCGTTGAGCCGAGGTCCCCTCAGGCCAACGGGAGAAACTCTCAACGAGAGCTTCCCCTCGTGGAAGCGTGATTGTGTTTTTTCGGCATGACACTGGTAACCACAAAGCCTGGGGCACACTGAAAAGTAGCCTGGAGCCACATGGGTGGGATCAATAATTCATTGTGTGGAGAGTTGGTTCGCTGCGTGATTTGTAAACAGCACACTGAGAAACTCTGTTAATTATAAACATTAAACTGTTTCTGGGCTCCGTCAGACGAGAACAATGCGTTTGATAAAGCCAAAAGCACTTAGTGAACTTGATAGAGACATATATACCAATCTATTTTTCCCAAAGAACCCGGAAGTTAATCAGTGCAGCCTTTCGTTCATGGAAATGTTCTAGTCTGTTATCACACAGGACTCAACCTTAACAACTTTCGGAGCATTTTTTGAGTACACGGGAGATTGTATTTGATTATATTACGATGAAGAACAAAAAATGAATTTCTTAATTTATAACAGACAGTCACGGCACTGAATGAAACACCAGCCAACATTGACATTAATGGTGCATTCATGTATTCAGAAGTATGTGTTGTGGCTCAACAGAACGTCCGTTTATGGAAGTTTGTCCGCCAATCACAGATAAGTGTTAATGTGCCAGGAACGAATGCTTCACTGAAGGGGTCCTAGATGCTTCTCTGCAAACGGCAATTAGGGCAGAAAACTGCAGTCACTTCCAGTCTGTCTGCCCGGCTAATTGCACACACAGAGGCTTGTGTGGCATTGACTGATGGCTAAGGAGTGTGTGTTGGGGGGCTTTGGGCGGGGGGGCTGGAGTAGCTGATGCAAGATGCGTGTGCGTGCACCATACAGTGAAGTCCTCATTAAGACTCGGATCTCTGAACCAGACCCTCAATTGTCAAGAACCAGCAATCTGCAGGCTGCAGAGTCTAAAGATGGCTGCTAGCTGGATCCCAGTGGATTAGTCAAATAACAATTTAGTTGAAAAAAAAAAGAAATAATCCTTACATTTTGGTTGATTATATTAAGATTTAGTGACTTAGGGGGGAGAAATAAATGGAGAAACAGGGAGAGTTGGAGACGCTTCACAAAGGATGAATTCACCAACGTGATCACAAGACAAGTTATGACCATTTATAGATGAAGTCTAAACTTTTAATATTGTGCCGAGTTTTAGCCCTTTGCCATCTTGAACAAGGACTGTCTCTAGATGCTATGGGCTCAACATAGGAATTGGTAATTAAAATTTGAGCGAGTCTTTTATGTTAATCCCTGAATGGGCTCTCCCGATAAGGACTGAATAATGATATATGGAAATTATCTTTCATTTACAGGGCTTGCTTTGACATAGTATTATGATGGAAATCAGTGTTGATTTATGTGAGTGGGGGAGAGAAAAAGGAGGAATCTCCTTGGTGATAACACCCTCCCTCCCTCACCCCTTCTTTCCTGTCCAGCCCCAGAGTGACGAGGCGGTCCGCGTGTGTCTCAGGGAGAGGGGCAACGATGTGCTGGTTCTCCAGAGAATATCATCGGCAACAGCGAGGGGAGGAGGGAGGGTAGAGGCGAGGAACGGGAGGTAAGCCTCTCCATTCGCTGCTTGCTAGATTTCCTCCCTCCCTCTGTTTCTCTCCCTCAGCACTCTCTCTCTCTCTCTCTCTCTCTGTCTCACCGTGCAATGCACAGTCCATGCTTACATCACAACTCCTAACACATGGACGACCACATTAAATACATAGAAGTGAGCAGCACGGGACTGTGAGGCGGACCTCTGCTAGCCGCCTTCCCCATTCAAGTCATTGGGGAGCTTTTTTCAGCCAGCGTCCATAAAGTCCCGGCAGACCTCAGTGTGCTCGAGGGACGGACAGCAGTGGACTCCCGGCTGCGGCAGCTGCAAGTGGATGGATGCATGGACGGACGGGTAAAAGGGGCATGCAGGAGTAACCACGGCAACGTTGCCAGGTGAGAGGACACAGGGACTCTGCAAGGATGGGATCTCAGCCGAAGCCCCCGGACCTGCTGCGGGAGGAGGGCGGGCTGCTGCACGCTGCCTTGGTAGAGCAGGAGGAGGACGAGGAGGACGAGGAGGGCTCCGCTGACAGCAGCAGTGACAGCACCAGCCGGGCAGAGCCGGTGACGATGCCCACCTTTGACGTCCCCTATTTTCGCTACATCGACGATGAGGGAACTGAAGGAGACGAAGGATGGAGCAGCAGCCGCTCCATGTCCTCCATTGAGGAGGACTCGTCCACTGACTCTGTTGTGTCTGACAGGTACATGGTTGTATCGGGGACGCCGGAGAAGATCCTGGAGTACTTGCTCGATGACCTGACACTGGATGACGACCAAGGGACGACACCCACCAAAGAGTCAGGTCAGCATGCATAAGCTTTAAAAACATTCTCATCCGCATTGACCGAACTGGATGAACACACATTTTTCTTTTGTATTTTATGGAGCAAAAACAAAACAATAGGCGAATAAGTTGGTGAATGGCACCCGGGCAACTTTATAAATACATTGCAAAGATGGTGTGATGATGCTGATAAAAAGCGAAAGGCAGAAATAACTCCCTTACTTTCATTGCAGTCCCTCCTCTCACCATCCTTCTCTCTCGCAGAGCAGCTGAGACAACAACCTCCCTCTGGGCAACATTACTGGGCTAATCATGTGCATCTATCCCAGAATGGGTCTAAGTTTGTGCCATTAAAAAACCCTTTGACAGAGATAGATGTTGCTCATATCCTTTGAGTTATACCGCATCGAACTGGTGCAGTTTAGTCTCACAGCGAGAACAAATGAGCACATTTCCTCTCACCTCAGCAGGTACTCGAAAAATGTGTCACTGTTGCTAAGGCAGAGGAGAGTCAGTTGATTGATTTGAAAAGATGTTATGAGGGGAAATGACGAATTGAGAGCAGTAGCACAGTAAGGAAAGCAGACGAGGAAAGCAAGAGAGAACGGAGAAACACTGTGTAGGGAGAGAAAAGGGGAAACAAGGCGGGAAGAAAAAGGAGAATTTCTTTCTTGTAGATGACAGATGATCTGTCCTCGGGATGGCGACCGGCTGACTCCATACCATCATTCTCAAAAGAAAGTGAATGAAATTGCAACAAAAAAATGTCCCCTGGGACCTGGAAGGATACAATTTAATGCACAAGAGAGTTGTGTTTTATGTTGAATTACATATTTCATTGCTGTATTTATTATTGATAGTTAAACGTTAAGCTAAAGCTAAGTGGGTAAGGAATCCCTCCAATCAATAACCCCAAAGCTTTTTTACCAAATATCCATTGGGTTCAGTAGGCAATGTGCTGTTTTATGAATCACTCGCTCATCTTCCAATGAGTGTATTGAATTGTAGCCTCCATAGATGCTGCTGACCGACATCCCGGGGTCAAAGGGCCAGAGACCTGAGGAAGACAAGGAATTGACTGAGTCCTAACCAGCAAATGATCCGCACGTGATGTTTAATAGTCCGCCTTGCTTCTCTGCGTGCATACTGAAGCGCCGTATGCTCTTGACTGCTGAGTGTGCCCTTGGAGCTTTAGCTCAGGATCCTTGATTTCATCAAAAAAGAGATTCATTTCAACATCCACCAAGCGTTCTTCTCAGACAGGCAGTCTACATGACTGGTTATTGATGTTGTGTTTATGACTTGCATGCTGTGCAGCACATTAAAAAGCCAATGTCATCTCATGGTGGTAGGACTTGCTTCCATGTTTACTCACAGACAACATTAAGAATGCAGAGGATTTTTCTGCAGAAGATGGCACTTTTCTGGAAGCACCACGGGCATGTTAGCAAATAGTAAGGTTGAAGTATTGCAGTAGTCTAAATACGGTGTGGAACCCTCATGCGATAATGTTTTAATGTTTCCTTCAGTGGGCTAACATTCAGAAGAAGTCACTTTTGCCTTCTTCCTCGTGCCCAATCTCAGTGCAGCTATTGATGCTTGCTGCGTACAAATTCTGCACACTGCTAGCTCCAAAAAACATGGAATGCAACGTTTGTGTTCATAACGAGACTAATTTCCAGCTCTTTTGCTGATTCACCATGTGCAGAAATGTTGATGCTCGTATGCAATGACGAAAGCATCTCATGACGTGAACGGATAGAAGATTTTTAATTGCAGACTTTTATAGTAATTTAAGGCAAAGAGGATGTCTTTTGGTGCTTACCGAGAAAATAAGTGACACATTAACGAGCTTATTTCAAAGGCTGCAGTGTTCACTTTCACGAGCACTTATTGAAACGCAAAAGTAAATGGCAGGTGGATTGATTTTTTTGAATGATTTGACGGGAGATTGGCGAAGTGGATCAATACATCCATTCTGAATTCCCTCTGAAAAAGAAGCCAGATGCCTTTTTATGCTTAAGTGCCGGAAAGGCCCATATGCACTCTACATTTACTTGTGTGTGACGTCTACGACTCGCAAATAACTCATAATAAACATTATTTATACACCAAAAACTGTTGGCGGGTCAACGCATCTGCTGCAAAACTGTTAAATCTACCCTGCTTTTCTGTCCTGAGTAACCCCTCCCCAACATGCACAAAAAGCATAATCCTACAGCCTCTTGGGAGTGGCTTATAATATGTTACTCGTGCAAAAGTGCTTTTAATTTAGATGGATTGGGAAAAAGGGTGAGGGAGTAGTCCTTTGTGCGTGCTGAGCTACAGTACATCTTCCATGTGTTGTTTCTTTGGGGTTTTCTGTTAAAGTGCAATACTGTATTCTTTACGGAAGCTACACATGTACAACTGTGCAGCTTCTCGTAAGCAGCTGCTCTGCACGGAATTAACATAATGATTTCAGGGAGTCCTGTGGAGCAGAACGCACACAAAGGCCCTGGGAGGCCAGTGTGAAATTAAAGGGGAGAATTTACAACTGTGGGTAGGAGGCACACTTACAGAGGCGTCCAGACCACGTTGGATTTGTAACGCATTGCGTCTTGGACGTACTGTCCTTCTCTTTCTCTTTACACTCCACAGATGTATTTTAATGCCTTTCATATCATATTATTAAATGCATTTTTAAAGCTCGATCTAATGTCCAAACCATAATTGCTTTCACTTTAACAAGAGTTTTGTGGGAAGAATGGATTCTGTATGTCATTTTGAAAAGAACTAATGTCTTCAATGTGGTGAATAATTAGCAGTTGTTATACCTCGTGAGTTCATTGAATGCTACCTTAACTTCAAAGTGAGGTGGGGAAATGTTTTTAACCAGCTTTGATTTAATCTATTTACAGAAACACGTAGCATGAATAAGCAACATCAGATGGCTTTTTTTTTGTCTGCAAGATAATCACAATGAAAACATAGACTTCATCAGAGGTCAAGAGGCACTCAATAGACACGTTGTTGACTCATCTTCACTGATCGAGCCCGCAATGGCAAATGAGTGAATGAGAAGACAAACAGCAAATTATTGTTTGAGCTTATTGGAGCAAAATGGAACCACAAATCCTCAAGGGGTTCAGTACGAACAATTATCTGAAACTAACTAAGAAGAATAATGTGCCACTGATGGTTTATCACACAGCTCAGCAAACATTGATCAAACAGTTGTCAACTTGAGCGGAGTAGCAGCCCTCCTGCATCCTGTAACACATATAAACCTACACTGTATACCATAGTGTGCGCAGAATTATTCTGATATATTTTACAAGTCAATGAGTAGAAGTTGAAATATTTTGTCAATAACATTGTGTTTCGCCTTTGCAGATATACTTGTGGATGATTTTCTGCTGACCTACCCTGTCTTCATGTCCACCGGTGATTTATGTCAAGCTCTGCTGGGGCAATATCCTTGAACACAGGGGTTATTTTAACAGGAACGTTAATGCAATGATTCACACATTACAACCCTTTTTTTTCGGTGGAAGCAACATGCAGACGTAGATGTTTTATCGAGTCATGGCTGCTCCACTTCACTCAAATGTGTTCATCCAACTGTCTCCCGCGCTGCCCGTTCTTAAATCAACATCATCGCTTCATGCTGCTTGCATTTGGCGTCAGCAAATACACGCTCTCCATCTGTGCCGAAGCCTTAACCGAAAACCCACCTATTGCACCAAGAGATACAGAGGGAAAGAGGACAGGAAAGAGGCTCTGGAGAGGAAACGGAAAGTTCTGCACCTGGTATCACAGTGGATGTCCCTCTGCAGAGGCTTCCTGCGGGAGGACGAGCATGTCAAACTGTTCACAAAGGTAGGCAACATGATGTACTAGGAAAAGAGTGGAAATTGGCTTTGAGATGAACTTGAACCTGGCAGAAATAAAAAATGGTCATTTCCTTCCAGACTTTGTATCGCTACGTGTTGGATGATCTCTATGAGCACCCGTTCCTGGAGAAGGATGTGAGGGAACTGCAGAAACTGTACCAGCTGCATCGCAGACAGTGAGTGACTGTATGACTTACTTAATCATCAAAGTCTTTAGGAAAGGGGTGATTCAAGACTTTAATCGTGTACATCATCTATAAAGACTGATGCATGTATTGACATTGAGTCTGAGTGTGTACAAGACTGACTACAGCTATTTTGGCTGGAGGTCTGGAGGAATCAGAGGCACTGGCTGGTCTCTGAGTGGAAAGAAAGAGCTGATTCTCTGTCTGCCTTTATTCATCTTCTCATCAATGAATACATTCAGAGACTCAAGAGTAATCGTTGAGTTGTTATGCACAGAAATATTAATGTATTTATCTTCAATCTCCTAAATCAAGGAAATACAGGAATTTTTTGAATTAATGACGAGCTGTGAAATGTACAGAAGACCTGACGGGCCAATTATTTTAAATAATCCAATTTTAAAAAACGCTGTTTTCTCCCCTGTGTTTATGACTTAATAAAAGGTTAAACGTTTTGCTGGATAATCTTGCTAATGTTCCCATTTGCTACATTTCTTTTTTTTCAGGAGACAATGAAGGATCTTGACCAAAATCATTTAAAAAAATTCACAAAACCTGTGTTTACTGTAACAATTTTATATCATATTTTACAACAATTTGGTTTTTCTCACTTACATCTCAGAGCTTCAGTACAATTAGTATGGATTTACTTCCATACAGATACCGTAAACATTGTGGTATCAGCTGCAACATTGATCTTCATAAGCGTAATGTGTACCGAGCATAACTAATCCACATAATATTAACATTTACCTTTCTGCCATCAGTTAGATTCATTCAGTCATGACGTGCCGCCAATATAGTTTTTAGTGGTGGAGCAAGACTTTGAGTTGCAATATGAGAAAAACGTGGTTTGATGCATCACTAACAAGCATACAGATGGACATTTTAGAGAAAACACATTTTGTCTTTCTTTGATGCAAATTGGATCCAAATGCTACACAGCCACAAAATAATGAATACATGTCAAAAAGAGACGATAATAATAATAACCAAAAAGGTGTAGGCTGAAGTCAAACAGTAGCTAATTATATCCAGCCTTCACTCATCAAATTAGATTTATTCACCGTTGCATTGGACAACGAGTTTGCTTTTTAAATAATTCATGAATAGACAAGTGCTTTTTGAACACTGTGTGCATAATATATGAACTGTACGCTAAACACACATAAACAAATGTCTTCATCAACATTCAACTGAGGTTTAAACATTGGGCCCGTTTTGTGATTATTACAGTCGAGCTGTTACTTAGCAACAATTTCCATGTATTTTAAAAGTAAGCGTGGGATTTCTCTCGGACATTACAGCGTGAACACCCCCCCCTGTCACCAGACACATTACCACTCCTCCTTCCCTCCGATCAGATCTCCTCCCCCGGGACGCTCCGACCTGCCACCTATTGGAAATCAGTGCGGATAATTCAAGCTGACGCTGCTGCCATTATCCGGCTGCTTTAATCATGTTTATATGCAGGGAGGGAGATCCACAACACCCGCCCCCTTAAAGCAGAGAGCAGTGGACTTTGTGAGGGTGTTACTATCTGACATACTCTACTATTTATAAGCTTTTCACCATCAGCCCCCCCCCTCCTCTCCTTTGTGGCAATCTGCTGCCCATTTAGAAGCCTAAACGTGTTGAAAAGCCGTTGCACAATAGAAAGCTAAAGTCACTTGTCTCTAAATGCGTACGAATCATATACCACTTGTTCTCTTCCACTTACTCATCTTGTGCCGTTATAATTCCCAGAGTTCGTACACCTTTTTTTTTTCCTTAGGAGCAAGAGTGAATTAGATCACACGTTCTGTTTGGTCAATACAGTGGTAATCAGGTTTTTCATTAGTGCGAGACTTCTGCGAGCCGACGAGAAGGGATCCCCGAGGGCGGCTTTGTGCCAACACGCCCATTGTGAGGCAGCGCCCAGTAAAGCTGAGGGATGATAATGGACACGGGGACATCCATCACGCTGGCCGGGAGTGAGCGATGTGAATGAGTTGATTCAATGAAGAGATCACATCGGAAGGGCTAAAATCTACAAAGCACTCCAATTTTCTTTGACTCAGACCTTAAATAATGAACCAAACGCCGGCGAGGAGCATTTATGCACGTTCACTTCACCTTGATTATATAGACTTGGTGAAGTGGTTTTTGTACTTGATATGGCCGCAGCTTAAGGAAAATCCCCCCCAAATCGTTCAGTTACTGATGTCAATCTTCTTCCTTTTCCAGGGCGGTGGATGAATATTCTCCTCAAAGAAAGGTGAGCGAGGTTATTGTGCTTGTTCTCTCTTTTACGACACCAAGACAGAAAGAATGTTGTTGGATACTTTGAACACTTCCCACTCTGACGTGCTGGATTGGCCGCTGGGAGCAATTGTCCTCACGTTTCCTGCTCATGACATTGCTCTGTTGTTTTAGCCAAAAGGCCGCGGTGTTGCAACATGAATCTACGTGAAAATCCACACGTTTCCCTTCTTGCAGGGCAAAGCACTTTTCCACCAGCTGAGTTTGAAAGAGAACAGTCTCCAGTCAAGAGGCACGCAGGGGGAGACCAAGGCAGGTAGGTCGGGGAGAGGTGGTGTCCTACACACATGCCTCCCATCAAACGTTGATTCCAAAGTTTAGTTTGAACGGGACAACAACGCAAGTGTGTTTCCAGTTAAACACAAATGTTCCCGAGTCGTGCCGTGTGAATTCACTTTGTCTTATTGGGATTCTTTTTTTCTTATTTTAAAGAGCAGATTCACCCAATTTAAAGCAAACGGTTACATTTCATGGTATCGGGCCATAAACAGTCTCAACTGTATCTGCTGAGGTTTGTAGATTTCCACATTCTCCACAGATTCTTTTCCCTAATCGAGAAAAAATCCATTCTAAATCTATTATCAAACATTAATGCCGCTCTACACAGATGACCCCAGGGCTATTCTAAATCAGGTGCTTTCCCCCAGGTCACCTTATTAATGAGTGGCAGGCTTGTAATGTCATGCGGCAGTGTGAGAGATGACCGTCGAGATCTAATTGTTTGGTTTCTTATTGGCTGAATTGTGGTTGCTAAAAGGTCCGAATTCCCTGCTCGACTCTGTGTCTGATGCAGTAACCTGCAGTAACGTTTTACGGCAGCTCTCACATCTAAAAGGCAATTCCCAAGGTCATTGAAATTTAGACTATTTGAAAATGTCCAAAGAAATTTGCATCGGTCAAATACAAAGCGATTCCTGCATTATTAGCTGTGTCTTTGGTGCAATTCATAATTCATGACTTCGGCAACTGAGGACTGATTTGTCTATTTTTACATAACGAGGCTGTCACGCTCAGTCTGCCGCGTGCGATGGAAGCTCGGAGCCGCAGGGGTTCATAGTTGATGTGAACAGGGATCTGGGAGAGGTGTTAACTGGAAAAACACGCCCGTTGGCCAGGCCGCACGCCACGTGAGCGCTGTGAATCCTACGTTTTTTTCCGTTACTCAAAACCATATTTTCTCTACGTGGCAGCGCTGTGTCACGTGTACGTCACCATGGACTCGTTCCTAAGCATGAGGGCCCATGCAGGGATGGTGGCTGAGGAGCTGCTGCAGGCGGTGGCAGAAAGAATGGAGGTCCCACTGGAGAAACTGGTGCTACTGGCTGTCACCTACAACGGAGGTAATCAGCATTCTAACTAACCGTCTAAGGACATGTTAACCACCACTCATTGCAACCCTGTACTGCACTGCGAATGGTGGGAATCTGAACAGAAAGGGAGAATTGGCTTCCGTTTTTCTCACTTTTGATGTGTGAGGAAATTGGTGGATTGAGAAACATGTTTTAGATATTTAGCGCTTGTACAAAAAAACTTTCTGTTCAACATTATAAGAACATCATGCATCAGTTTATATGACTTTAAATGATGATAGTAATATAATAACAATAATATACTAGTCAACACTAGTACTTGATTCCTCACGGTATTTTATACTATATAATACTATCACAGAGCTGACCTACATATTTCCCCCGTGACAACAGCTCAAAGGGAGAAGCATTCACACTTCACTAATGTAAAGTCTGCATCTATTATCAGCAAGTGAAGGCCACTCCAAGTGGCGCCTGCAGCAAGTCTTATCTCGCTCTACCAGTGGCTGCTTACACGCCACAAACATTCTGCTATTTGTGGTCCGTTTTCTCCCCTGCAGGTAGACACCTCCTGCAGCCTCAGGACAGAGTCTTCTCCGATTCTTTACGACCGGTTGGGAGACTGCATGTGTGCAGGAAGGACCTGGGTGAGGTCTTGGTAAGAATACGACTGCAATATGTCGCTTTCACTTAAACATACATTCCAAAATAATGTTCGCTGTTAGTCTCAGTACATCAACTCAGAGGCGACGCACAAGACAACATGCGGCATTGTGGTGTTGTTGTATATTTCTTCAAAACTCCACTGCAGAAATGTGGTTTGATGTCTAAAGAGAAACTGGCCGTGTTTTTTCTTGTTTAGAACCCGTTCACAGACAACTCGGAGCTGCAACAGAGAACGGCCCGCATGCTCAGTATAAACACGTGGGACGTGGCCGTTGCTCTCACCGACTTTGACTGGACCATCTTTGAATCAATACACGAGGTTTGTACTTTATAGCACTATAACAGCCCAGATCTCTTCATCATGGACCTTCTCCACCAAACCAAAATGTTTCTTTTCTTTTTTTTTTACAGCAAGAGCTCGTCTATTTCACCTTCAGCCGCCATAGCAGCAGCAGCCACACCGTGGCGTTGGAGCTGCTGCTGCAGCGCTGCAATGAAGTCCAGCTATGGGTGATGACTGAGGTGCTGCTGTGCTCGGCGCTCTGCAAAAGGGTCCAACTCATCAAGAAGTTCATCAAGATCGCCGCGCAGTCAGTAGCTTCATGCACGCCGTTCCTTCATTTTCATTTATTGGAGTCAATGATATACACTTGCTTTTGACACTGAGGGCCTCCACCACAGCGTCTCAGCTCCAAAATATAGGTGGCAGGAAACGTTCAGACTTGCATGGGGATGCTGCTCCCTCTAGTGGCAGATCAATAAACTGCATCTGCTCTTGTGCTGGGGAGCTTTCCCTTGCAAGCGACCGACTCGTGTGCTCCTTGATCTTTTACAGCTGCAAAGCACAAAGGAATCTCAACTGTTTCTTTGCCATCATAATGGGTCTGAACACTGCAGCCGTTAGCCGCCTCGGTCAAACGTGGGAGGTAAGGATGTGCTTCTCTCAGTCCTTTCATCTGTGCTAACTATTAGGTAGTAGTAGTAGTAGTAGTAGTAGTAGTAGTAGTAGTATCTGATATCCTGTTGCTGTTTCTGCAGAAAATTCCTGGGAAATTCAAAAGGCTGTTTGCGGAGCTGGAAACGATTACAGTGAGTAGTTATTCACAGGCACAGAGTGCATCCGATACTGCCTGTATGCATCTGTTGTGCTGGAAAAAAAACACATGGCATGAATCTAATGGAACAGGAAAAACAAACCTTTTGCTTAAGCAACTAAGACGTGAAGCAATCACTGTGTGTTCTAGAAGATCATTGGTCTCTTGTGATGCCATAATTCCACAAACAAAGCGTGCACGCACGGACACACACACATTCATCCCCGCAGGATTACTCATTCATTTTGAAAATATCTTCGCAGGATCCCTCGCTGAACCACAAGGCCTACAGGGACTCCTTCAAGAAGATGAAGGCGCCCAAGATCCCATTCCCTCCTCTGCTGCTGAAAGGTGCGTTCTTACCCATAACCTGGTCAAACTATGGCCGGGGTGGGTGGGTGGGGGGCAGATTTCCCTTCGGCAGATTGCATACATTTTCCCTCAAATACTTGTTCCTTGAAAACTAACATAATGTTTAATGGGTTTTAGATATTACGTTCATTCATGAAGGCAACAAGACGTTTCACGACAACATGGTCAATTTCGAAAAGCTGGTGAGTCTATGAACCCTTTATAGTTCTTCACAGAAAACATACGGTTGTGCTGAATTAGTTAATGTTTAGTGAATCATGTGTCCATCTTTATTTCCAGCACATGATAGCAGACACACTGCGTCTCATCCGGCAGTGTCAGAAAGATCACATGGGTCAGTAATCCCTCTTTCCTCATTTCATAAGATAAACCAACATTTGATCAGTGCGAATGAACAAATCTATGGACACAATCGGACAAAACTACACGGTCTCCATATAGTTTAAACCAGTTTAAATGTCCTCACCATAAAAGGTCCACAATCCATTTTCCTTTTGTTCAAAAACTCTTTTGGCTGGGACTATCTTCATGTCATATGTACAAAGAATAAGTGGTTCTAATATCCGTTTCATTATGATTGCATTTTACTATTTTTCACAAGGCCATGGTATGAATATGTTCAGATTTAGCGTGCGTACCGTGTACAGTGGTTGTGCAGTGGTTGTCCTGGATGCTGGTGGCCTCGCCTGGAGGTAACCCATCTTCTCTCCCAGTAGGTAACGGCATCACCCAGAAGAGCAGCTCAGAAGTGAGAGCCTACATCGATTACCTGCATATCATCGACAATCAGCAGACTCTGTTTGAACTGTCACACGGGCTGGAGCCTCGTGCTTAGAGAGCCGCTCTCACCGGCCTCCCCCACATGTCAGCCATACTGTTGGACTGCCGAGAACACCATCTGTCACTGTCTCATCTGTCTCTCAGGACTCACTCAGCAGTCAGAGAGACGGTGCAGGATCCCGGGCCGACCACAGGAGGGAGCCGCTCAATCAGGAAACTCTCACCAGGGGATTGGGGAATAAGCAGAAAAGAGTCAGATGCATAAAACGTTTGCATAGATTTACAAATGTGTCAGTGGTACAGAACACCTGAAAGCACTGTTTGTTCCAATGACTTGTGTTGACTGGCGTTAAGAAGAAATATGTACCTGTGGCTGCTTTTACTGGAATGTCCCAAAGACATCACAGGTGTTCTTACAATGACGCAACAGCTCCCCCCTGTGGAGCATAAGCACCCTGCAGTAAGAGATTGATAGCAGGTTAAATGCTCCCCCCACCCAATATATAAACCCACAGGAAATGAATGTTAATGAAAAACGAAGTGTTAAATATTCAACATTGTTATATACATTGATTTTCTATTTTTACATTGCAGACTTCTCGTACCATAAAGAAGCTCGATTGTTTAACCATGGAGCCTGTTAGACGAGGCAATTCAACACAGCGTTCCGCAAAAGTTGTTTGCTGTTGTAATCACCATGTTAGTCCCGAAGAACTTAAAAAAGAATCCCCTATTCTAAATAATTAAAATTGCTCGTCCTTGTAAAAGCATAAGGAGCTCCATCTGGTTGAGCTGTGGACAATCAATTAAAATGAAGCAGACGCCACCTAATGATACAGCAGTATTGGTCTCTAAAGGCATTTTGTCACCCAGATCGTGTTTGATTAGTTGAGGTTGTCTACTCCACCAGATTAGTATTTGAAAAACTCAGCAACAGCCTTTCCAAAAGAAAACTAAGACCTGGTGAATCACAACTAGCGACGAGGCTGTTGAGCGAACGTCCCTCTTTTATCCTCAGTAGATATTGAAGGAGAAAATTACGTTTTTTGTGCTTTGGAGTGAACGGTTTCATCAAGTAAAGTGCAATAGAGAAAACAAGTATTATAGCACCTTATACACAAAGGAGAGAAAGAAAAATAGAGGCCATTTAATTATGTAGAGGGTGCATCAACGATCCTGTACTCAACTCTATAGTTTGTAGTTATAGAAGATACAGTACAGTATTTATTTATTTAGATCTGTCAACTGAAAACTTTCACTTTGCCCTGAGTTTAGAAGTGGTGCAATAGAAATGTGAATTACATTCTTTAAATTTCATTTCTACATTTAAAGCCTTCAGTAAACATCGAGAAAAACACTTTGATAGACAGATATTATATACCTACATCAATGTACTTTGTCTGTACGTGTGTGTGTGTGTGTGTGTGTGTGTGTGTCGACATTCAGGATAAGGGTATTAATTTATTCCAGAATTATTTATTTGTCCTAGAGTAATTCCTTTATTACTTCAGTTTGATTTAATGGTTTTTGTACGCAGCATTTGGCTGGTCTGCATGATATGGCAAACCGTGGATTGACCAGCAGTGTCAACTGTGCATGCAATAAAATATCTTCCATCATCATAAGTCGGTTATTTAAAAAAGATATAGACAACTGATTTTATACCAACACAAACAAAAAATAAGGGCCATTGAGTGCAGAAGAGTAACAGATCATCTCAATCTCCATTGACGCCTTCCTGCCTCTCTGTTGACCTGCGCCGTATTTCACTTGACCAGAAGTTGCTTCTCATACAATCAGTGAGCTGCTGATGCTAAAATTGTGCAGTCTCTGCAGAACATTTTGGATCACGAAAACATCGGCACACACAATGTCTTTCTGGAATACCGCGAGGCGGAGGTGTGACCCGGATGCCCTTACTGACTTTTACCAGGTGTCCTGCTTGGCCTTTAACATGACTATCTGTGGAACGACCCCCGCTGCGCCGGGGCCCCTCGTACCCTGCCATTTCCTCCCCAACACTGCCGGCGCTGTATCATTTCCCTGTCACCAAATGACTGGCTGGCTTCTGTGGCGTGCTAATGAGAGGAAGAGAGGGCAGATGAAGAGAAACTACAGGAAGGCCGGTTCTTCATTTCCCCCCCCGTGCAATACAATACACAGAATCAATCCTCCGACCTCTACATGACTGACTGAGAAATTAAGAGCAACACAGCAGTTATTAGCGTTGGAGAAAGACTCATTCGAGAAGATAAGAGTGCGGATTTCAATCCAAAACAAGAACGGTTGCAATTTGTACATCATATGTCACTTGTTTATCTTAGCAGATAATTTATACATATGTATAAGGCATCTGCCCTGTCTCAGATTTCCGCTAATATCCAAAGATCCCCTTTCAGACACACTGCGTTTTTTTATGTTGACAATAATGGACACTCCAAAAACACATTAAAAAGATTGTTTTGAACGAATAAATGGTAAATGGAGGTTATACACACACACACACACACACACACACACACACACGTTCAGTTGTTATATATCCTTTCCATGGTTGCACAGAATTCTATCCGAGCACCCAAATATTTGATTCAATTATTTCCCCCCAGTGTTGTTCTGTGCACCCCCAATATTTTACCAAAGCTGTGACACATTAGGGACTTAACAGCACATAAATGATGCACATCTCATTCAGTACGCATAGATTATCAGAGTCAAACCTTACTCTGAACATCTCAGTTTTCATTGACATCTGTTTAAAAGAGATACAATTTTAGTTTCTTCAGAGTCAAAGTTTCAGGTTTTATTGTATTTATATCAAGTCAATCAGATGAGTGCAGACTGATACAGGATGGGTCATCTAATGTGTTGCTCTCTTCTAGAAAGCGATCAGTATCTTTGAAGAGGCTTCTCCAACAGGCCTGGCTGAATGAATTACACTCGTCTGTTAGTATTCTGCCTCTGCCGTACAAAAGGTCAATGTCAAATGCACCTCATTTAAAAGTCAATAGCGGCCGTGCACATCATCTCCTGGGAATTCTGTCCGGGAACCCTCCAGACGGCATTGTGTATCATTCAGTTAGAAGAGGGCAGCCGGGGAGCCTTTTTAATCTTGACCTTCCAATAAAATATGCTCCCTTTCCAGAATTACATGGTCTAAAATAGAGACATAAGCTCCCAACAAATCACGACCAGACTGAACCGTCTCATGGGAAAGGTTCAACCGTGTCGGACACAGACACAACAGGTTCAGCACCGGCTGAACATGCGTCTGCACTCCCTTAATTCCGTTATCTTCATATCTAAAACACACACACACAACAATGTTAGTATTCATATGTATGAAACAAATGAGCAACAATACGTTTATTGCAATTAATTATTAAAAAATAAACATATCTGTTCCATTAGTAATAATAAGAAAAGTTTGATAAAAAAAACTAAATAAATACAATAAATGAGTCAATTATATTAAGATGGGAAAATAGTGGTCCTCTAATAAACGTTTTAGCACTATTTGCAGAATACGGTCAGTAGATATTTAAAAGCTGTTGATATCTACCGGTATTGACAATAACCATGAAAATAAAAAAATAAAATATTCATATCATGTTTACACTGCACGATAATGTCCCACATACAAATTCAGTTTTCAAAACTCAATTAACCAGGTTAAAGTAAAAGTTTCATAGAGTTAGTTAGAGTTAAAACTGGTATTTTAAAAGTGTCCTTGGACACATAGTTTTGGCAACAATGATAGTGTGGTGACAATGTAACATCCTGTCAGCCCTCGGTGGATATTACAAATACCTCCTCCTCCTCCTCTAATGTCTCATACAGACAGTAACAGTGCGACTCCGGCTGCGATCCACTTGGCAGGAGGCTGCTTGGTTCGGAGGTGGAGGCTGCATACGTATGAGGGCCCACGCTGCTTAGTGGAGTAAACTGGACACTCGTAAGTGTTCTTGAGCTGCTGCTCATCAGCTGGCACGGCTCGGACAAACAGCACCGGCATGGCGGGAGTCAGATCCCTCAAAACCGCCTCGGAGATGACTCCCGCCTGGGTGTCCCAACGTGCTCCTGAGACACACGAGGATGACTCCATTAGATTCTTCTTTTAACAACAAGGGTTTCAAATGTAACCTAATTGAGCAACGCAGGACGCATTGGAGGTTTGATGGAATTATTCTCACCTTCCATGAAGAGCCCGTGGATATAGGCCCCCTCCCGGGGTGGATGTCCATAGTCGTCTTTTGTCTTCTTTGTTACATCCACAGTCAGAGTCATCTTCTCCAGGGCCCACTGATTCTTACGAGCAATACTCTGCATAACAGCTGGGGGGGGGTGAGGGGGGACATGTTAATACATCTGCTGGCTCTGGTGCACATGTCATCTAAATCATGTGCCTTTTTGGTTCCAGGGTTGTGTTCTCACCAGTCAGGAAGGACTGTGGGTAGAAGAGTCCTGAGAGCCAAACAACTGCAGGAAGAACCAAGTCTCGAGTCCAGCTGTCCAACTCTCGACAGCTACACATTAGATCATTAAACCTTGATTAAACAAATAAACAATTAGTAACATAGCATGGCATTGCTTGAAACCTTTATGATAAGTCAGTGTTTTAGGATAGGTTTTAAAACACAGCAAACATAACTAACGTAATTAAAGGCCAAGTTGAGCAAATATAGGGGATCATTAGAAAGGGGCGGCTACCAATGGGCCAGTGTCTTAGTGGAGGGGTAAGCCAGTCTGGTCCAGGAATCAGGAACGCAGTCTTTGAACAGGGCTGACTGCAGCGTCTCCATACTGGAGGAGATGGTGAGTTCTCCCTGTGGAAGAACAAATCCTTAGCTTGATATCTTGATAAAGAACGTGCGTTTTATTCATCTCTACCTAACAGTAGACTGCACCTTCAGGCCAAGATCCAGCACATTAAGGGACTTCCTTATTTCTGCTAGCAGAAGATTCATGCGTTCACACTCCTGGAAACAGACTAAAATGTACGAGCTTCGCTCTGTAGTCTTTGCAGTTATCTCGGCCATGTTATACTCCTCAGGAAGCTTGTCCAGGAGATCTTGAATGACAGACTTGACCTGATGAATAAAATATGCAAAGTTAGGTAATTTACGTTGGCAGGTTTATGTATCAGCTGCTTTTTGCTCACAGTAATGATTCTTTCTGCCTCCACACCTTCTCCTCTGTGCCCTGCGCTGCGCCTTCCCCTCTGGAGGCTTCCTGTGGCTGCAGCTCCAGAAGAGTCCTTAGCAGGTTGTCTGAAGTGACAGTGAGGCACTCGAGCTCGGCATTTGGGTGCAGACCATACAGAGTGGGGTTCTCAGGTGGGACGTGCTCGTCGACATAACTGTGGTAACCGCTGTAGTCCATGAACGGAGGCGATAGGAACCCAGGACACAGAAAGAGCTCCCCTTCAAACTAGGAATTGAAATATTGAGAACGCAAAAGATGCAAATAAGTACACAATTTGAGGTAAAGAAAATCAAATTTTTAATTTGTTGGGATTTCATTCATCTGGAAAATTCAACAATAAAATGAAAATTGTATTCTATTGCAATAGTTGTGTTGACATCAAATGCAAAAAAAAATGGATGGATTGCTCTTGCATAGCGACATGGACGCTAACTTACCATTTTTGGATGCATGAACTCTTGTAGATAAGTCTGGCACAGTCTTCTATCCCAGCCATCTGTAATGTGTCCGCCATACATGATCTCCCCAAAAAGATAACGCAGGTCCTCCCAGGGCACCTGCATGGACTATAATACGTGTAGTCTGTAGACTGATATGCAAATGCAAATGAAAGAACAATGTGGTATTTAAACAATTAGGAGGGTATCAACTAAGAAGACAAATTCTGTTGAATTACTTATTTCTGTCCATTTGTCTTTTCTAACTTAAAGCAACGACTACATGATCTCATCCCAAATGATCTGTATTATGATGATACCAGGAGGGAAATTGAACAAAATTACGTTTCTTTACACTCGCTGATCTAGTGGATGACAGAAGAGTTCTTTTCCTCAGCAGGAGATTATGATCCGCGAGGGTGAAGGAGGAAGAAAAGAACCTGTGATTCATAACAAATTACAAAAGCTGGAGGTTTACAATCATTTGTACCTGTATTGTTGTGCAAATTGCTTCCTTCATCAACTCTAATTGCAGTGATCACTTATGTAGCATTGTGAACTGTCACATTGGCTGCATGTAATTACATTTAGGATAACGCTTCATTGCCCTCCTAATGAATTCTCTGTATACGCACATACAGGTTAGTGTTTGGTTAACATAATGAAGGACATTCGTTTTTGGAGGACAGAATACCTAAGAGACATAATTGGTTGTGACCAGAGTAATAGGAGTCCTAAGAGAAATACATTAGATGAGAAGGGAGCAGCACCCCAAGAATGGATTTTTTTTTTGTCTTTGTGAAATGAAGCTAAATCATACGTTGCGTATTCAGTTATAAAAAAATAAATAACATTGAGAGAATAGATTTTAAGAAGTAATTGGGCACACTGAATAGTAATTCAATAGCCTAGTCTAATATTATTGCCATTGCGAACACCATTGTTATTCTATACTTACACAGCTTAAGAAAGTAGTGTTAAAAACAGATGAATGTTTTCTATCTATAAATAACAAAAACATGTTGATGTATCTTTACAAATAGTGGTAAAAATTACTTTTGAGTTGGCCTCCAAGTAATTGTACAAGACACTGGCTGAGATGGTGAGGTCTCCAGCGCTGAAGGGGTAGTTGTGGTTCCACCCTTGGGGACCAAATTTACGGCGCTCCGTGACACAAGCGTGAAAGAAGCAGACGGAGAAGAGCATGGAGTTAAACTCCTGTTCTCTGGAGCACATATCCAGAGTGTCCTGCAGAGAGAGACAAATACAGATTACAGTGAATGCCACCGTTTGTTCTTCTTTTAATATTAACACTATTTGAGGAATTATTTTAGATGCTCGACGCACTTGACTGAAACTGTTGAGGGCCGCGTGCAGACTGGCATTCATGCCGGTGGGGGGCTCATTGGTGATTTTGATGGCATTCTCCAGGATCCCTCTGGGGATGTGGTGCTGATCAGGGTTTGGTGCTGGTTGCCCGGTGATGAACACCCTGTAGTTTGGGTGACTGTCAACCGCTGCCGTCTCGAGAAGTCCATCAAGAGAGGGCAGCCATCGAGGCACCAGGTGCACATTCTAAACAATGAAGAATCCAAAAGGGTTAGGCACAATGTGTTGAATGTTGATACTTTTTTTTTTAATGTATAGTCATATTTGTGTTCATTATTGAAAGAAAAATATTTTGCTCTGTTCTCAATTAGTAAGAAAACCTTCAGTGGCTCACTTGGCTGCAGGCTTCTCCCTTTAAATGAGGCATTTGTGGAACTGATTTAGTCAATTATGTTTTTTATTGAACCAAATTGAGTTTATTTCCTCGCTCAGGGGGTGAGATAATATCATTAGGTGCATTACAGGCTTGCTGGAAAAGCAGCCTACGGGGACTACTTGAACTAGTCACTGAAAAGTACGGCTTCCTACCTGCAGAATGACCCAATGTCCGAGTTTCGAGGCATTACTCAGGACCCGTTTCGCTACCTCGTGCTGCCCCTGTCCCAGCGAGATGTTGTGTAAAGTGCCGTGCTCAATGGTGAACCCCAGCTTCAATCCTGCACAGATAGAACATTTAGAACAACTATCCCTACCCATTGATCAGAATTTATAAATAACCCACAATATACACAGTACCTAGTTTTTCTACATCTTTCAATGGATCCACCCCAGGGGAGAGAATGAAGAATACAGGAGTTGAAGGGCTGCTGTCCTCATACAACTGGTCAAATTCCAGCATGGCGGCATCCACATATTTTCTTCCCATGCTTTGCTCCACAAAGTTCCTGCCAGGAAACATGATCAAAAATCTTGATATACAGTGCAACACTTACAAATGTTCTTTGGTCAATTACTTACCTTAATGTATAGGTCATCCTGTCAGGGCGAAGTGCTCTAAAGATTATGAGCTTCTGTAGGGAACTTTTATTCTTCCAGTCCTGGGGCAGTCTTTCCTTTTCAGGACAACCGGACTCGACAATCTTTCTCCAACGCTTTGGTGAGCTCTCAATGTCTTTGTCCAGTCCATTGAAGTCCTCCACTGTCGAAATGGTCTATATCCAAATAATAGATTTCATAGGACTTTTCCAAGTGATGCAACATTATGGGTAGTGATGTCCTGAAGGCTAACTAAATAATAAACATAACGCTTTAACATCTTTGAATAGCACTTGAACGCACCTTAATGGCTCCCCAGGCCTGCGGGGAGAGGAATGACACAGGACTCACTTTGCAAGCTTCCACATGGAAACGCAGAAGGAGGTCAACTTCCTGAGCATCAATCAGGCCCTGCTTCAGCAGAATCTGTGGGGATGGAACGAGCAGCAGTTTGTTATGATCTATGTTGTATTTACCTCATTTAAATCATTTCCACAAGATCTGAAAACTGGAAAAAAAAAAACTCTGCAGAAACTTCTACAGGTTGAATAATGGCTTTTGAACGTAAACAACCACATGAAGGACAGCCTTCAAAGCCGCACAATTTTCTAAGATGAAAACTGTTGGCGCAGTGACGGATAATTGCATTATGCCACATTAGAACCATCCCCCTTGTCAGAACCAACTGTCTGAACAGCAGCCACGCGGCGTGCTGTGAGAGGTAATCGATAGCAGCGTATGGTCCTGCTGACTGCTTTTAATTGGAGTTAATGTGGGGGCAGAAAAGTACTTTGATTGATGAGGATGACAGGAGGCCCCACCTTTGAGGCGGCCCCGAGTCCCTCACCTGCAAGGCAGTGTGTGACAAGAAGGTTAACTTGTCTCTCTCAAACAGGCCCTGGTTGCTGTAGAGGAATACAGAATAGGTGATGGCCTCGGTGAGGGTGTGCACTCTGGTCCTCACGTCCTCGTCCCATTCTGCACGCTCCATTGCTTTGTTGAACACAGAGTTAAAGGTCTGGAATACAAACAAAAAGGAGGACAGTGATAAGGAACAGATAAGGAATATGGACATAAATACAGGATCCAAAGCTCTGCAAAGGATTGACAGCTGAACTCAACAAATGGACTGAACAAGTTTAAAGTGACGGTGCATAAAATTACCAAAAGAAATAACAGTTCTATAAAAAAAAAATGATATTATTGTTCCAGGAGGAGCTTGAGCATTGTTTATTTTCTGATGTGTGTCCCCTGAGAGTAATTTTAGGGTTAGAGCTTTCACCTTGAGGGAAAACTGGTACATGGGGTTAATCTTGCTGAGGTCGTTGATGATGAAGAAGAGGAGCGACGCTCTCTCAGCAGCTGGGCGGTAAAGTTCTCGAGCCTCGTTGATCTCTGTCTCGTTTTTTCTGGCCTCCACCACCTGTGCGTTCCAATTGCATAAAAAATGAGCTATTAGGCTCTCAGTCATGCTCCAAAACCATCTCATTACACTTATTCCTAACTACACATCATTTGCAGCAAATGCAATAAAATGAGGTGCTTCCATTGTGTGAGAAATATCCAATACTTACAAAATACGTAGTAAAAAGATAAATACAGATGACCGGATGCTACAGCCTCACCTTGCACTGAATGTGAGCAGCTGTGCTCTTGGTGTTCTCAAGTTGCTCCACCAGAGAGATATCACCTAGAAAATGGCCGTGAGCTGCAGAGAGGCGAGTCAACAAGTCGTCCTCTAACCTCTTCAGCTCAATCTTGAAGTGGTTCTGCGCGGTTGTCAGCTCCATCTTGGGAAATGTACAATATTGACATGGAGTGTTGTTTCTTATTGAAAATCACCAATAAAATCCTTCACAGCGAACTTCAGAAATGTCCTAATTCACCTTTAGGGCCTCCAGGTCCGGCCTTTCCCGCGACACCACCTGTCCCAGCAGCTGTTCCTCCAGGCCCTCAGGTGTCACTGTGAAGTTGATGAGGGTGGTCTGGGCCTGGAGCTCAGGAGGGAAGTGGGGATTTGCCAACTTGGTGTGGAGGATGAGTTGAAAGCTACTGTTGTATTCACACTCTTTGTCCCCGAGTCGGATGTACCTTGATAACAGGAGAGTACAGTGCAAAAAAGAAACTGGTCAACCGCTGTGTGGTTTTAAGGTCACTACCGACCAGAAAGCACAATATCGGATTTTGTTATACAGCTGATACGGTATAGAAAGTGTACTTTAAAATGTATAAAACAAATGCTTTGTAGCTGCTGCAAATAGGTACTAAGAGAACCTTTACTGCACAGTTTATCTATTTGGCAAAACAATTCAATCTCTAAGTTCCACTTAATAGCTTTTCTTGCCTTGTATTTATTGTAATCTATTTATGACTAACTAACTAAAGCTAAGAGGTCAAGTCCATAAAGTATTAAAGAGAAAAACAGAGACTGGGCTTTTGTTTTTACACATCCATCTCCATTGTGACTAATTAGTAAGTTAACCAATAGTTAACTTACTATTAATTTGAGTTTGCAATGTTTTGTCAAGCCACTGCGTACAAGGTCGAAAATGTACATTTATGTTTTGGGTCATTTTCACAAACCAAACACAACATTGCTGAAAACATAAAGAATTTGATAGCAATAATGGCTGCAGAGTTCAATGTGCTCTGGTTGTTTTTATCTTCCCATCAGTGAACTTGCAAAAGGGAGGAAGTGAAACATCAAGATGATTGGAATTTGACCCCAGTGGTTTCCTGTGAAGCGCAGAGCAGCCGATTTCACTTATGATTGAACACCCGCATCTTGAAAGCTGTTGTCTTTCATATGCATCTGAGCCATTGACCTCTCACCCTCAAGCACTGCAACCTCAACTGAGGGAAGAACTTCACCGGCTCCACGTGTCACTCATACTATAGACAATCTTAAACATTCTGAAAGATCACCACAGCAGCCAGTATTTATCTGTTACTGCGTTTCAATTAAATTAGCGATGGCTTGATGAACGTGGTGGCTTTTCATTTTTCTCTAATTACCCCTCGGATGTCAGGAAAGGCCCCAGTTTTATGGCACAGGTTCCTCTTGGCCTCGGTCTGGTTCAACTCTATATCTTCACAAGCCAGAATTAATGTACTATTGATAGAACCATTACTCCACCAAATTAAAGTCCTTGCTGATGGATTGGCTTGTAGTCTTCCGTCAGCCATGAAAGGAATAATTAGTATTCATTACTTCACACTCTGCAACATTCCAATTATTAATGAACTTCAGCTGTGGATCCCTACCAGATCCATCATGGCTGCTCCTGCAGGTTGTATTAATCATGGATAGAAACAAGTGTGTGGGTCATCTACAAGGGATAAACTTACAATCAGATTTACTATGATGAATTGTTACGTCTAAACAGACAGGTTTTCAGCAGAACCTCAATGAACACGTGTTAATATATTCAATACTCATGGTCAGAGCAAGAAAGATGCAGACCATTTTGAGAGGGGAAGTCAAAGCAGAAAGTCAATATGTGGTATTTTTGGTTTATGGAGCCATTTTTGGAAAATCCGGTTTGCCATCGGGTAGATTCACAGAGTACAGGGCGTTTAAGCGGTTTGGATGGCGTTTATACAAGTTACACATTTTTAAGTTTAGTAGTACTAATGTAAAGCATCGTTCATAAATGATTTATACAACATACACATATGACCTAATTTTGTAATTTAAAATAAATCCAGATGCAACGTGTTATCGTAGAGTTTAGAATTATTTCAGTAAAGCTATTATTCGGTTTCCAGAGAAAATAAATTCCGTCAATTCACAGATCAGCGTTGTGAAATTATTGATGCTGAGGTGGTTTCCCATGATAATGGAGGACCGTAACATCTAGTGTGATGCAGGCCATCTTTTTGTGGGAGACAGGAGTCCTTATACATAAGCATGACTGTCCTTAATTCAGCTTTTACACTGAGGTTCGGCTGGTCAATATTCATCGCACCTCAAGAATATGAACACAGGAATATTCATCTATCAGCCGTCTTGAGAGGCCAATCAATACTTTGGCCTCGGGGATTCAGAACACGTGCTGCAAATTCATCTATAATCTGAAGAGGGGGGCAATAATAATGCATTCAGTCATGTCTTACTGGTGTTTCAGTGCTCAGTGAGATTGAACCATCTGGCAGATCGGCTCCCATTTTCTAACAACAAAGAAACATTGTGACGAGTTGTGAGAATGTAAAACTGGGATTCAGCCGGAAAAAAAACAAAACGAAAACAGCTACTTTTGAAGAGCTGGCTTGTATGTGCATGTTTTACTAGAACAACGTAAGTCTAATGTTTCAGTACTAACCTTCCTCTCTTGATGGTATTTCTACCCAGCAGAGGCTCCAAGACTGGGTCCACTTTTTCCGGCAGATTCTCTATCAGAACGGTCTCACCACAGACGAGGGCTTGTTCAATCACATGCAGCCACCTATGGAATAAAAATGCTTCCAGAATAAAACGGCTGGAACAAGTGTCGAGTTTGTGTGCTACCACATCTTAGCAGTCCATTGTGGATGTTAAGGTGGAAACAACAACAATCAAACCGATCAAAAGCTGATTTTACTGCAATCAGAAGAGAGCTCCCTCTCACCCTTTCTGTCCCAGCTGCACCACCCTCAGCTCTGGCGCTAGCCGGTTTCTGATCCACTTGATGCCCTGCTGCTGTGGGTCGATGAGGAGCGGCCAACGCTCACTGGTGGTCAGGATAGAAGCGTTCTCGGTGGACATCCTATCGTTTGGCAGGCCCTGGTTATGCCAGGCGGCCACACTGGCGTCATCTGTAAGCATGAGGATTGGATCCAGGCCTTCTGTCAGGGGTACAGAGACCTGGAACAGAAACAGGGGAATGATGTCACAAGAGTTGAACCCCCCCGCTGGCAGTGTGATGAGCTCCAGTTCAAAGACTCTGGTGTGGATGTTTGTAGGGAGAACATATTTGCCTTTTTAAACAAACTGCAGTCCAACCAAGACAAATAAGTTGCAACACTGGCCTTACCTTTTGAGACCGAAGAAACGGTATCCATTCATTGTTAAGGAGCTGCGCCCGATACGGTCTGGTGAAGTAACCCATGTAGGAGACAAATGCTGAAGTGATGAGAACATCACCACACAAGGTCTTCTGTTGCTTCTCATACTCAACAATTGCCCGGGACCAGCGGATCTTCTCTGACTGTAAGATAAAAGCTTTCATTATCATCAAGAAATACTCATTCTAGCCCATCTGAGGACAATTGCAATCTGAGAACTAAGGAAGAATCCACACTGCAGGATCGTGTTGTGCTGAGCAACTTCCCACCACATTTATTGTACAAATTAAGAAGATGTAAGCAGTACAACGGCAATTCCCTTAAAATAGCTTTGAATGATTGCCTGTAGATTTGCTCTGCATCAATTCAGCATTTATTTAAACCTTCAGAACTATGAGTGTGACAACACTACAACAATAAATCACGCATGGCATTTTCTTACAAGGGGCTGTGGATCTAGAATATGTCACATAATACATTCTCAGACAGTTAAAAATCACTATAATTTTACCCTAATGTATTATGGATTGCCTGTAATATCACTCAGTCTGGGGTGAGACATTGTTAATTTCCAACAGCTGTTGAGGCTTTGAGGTAAGTTAATGATTAAATATAGACGGCCTGATTTATTAGTCTGAACACTATTGCTTCCAGGTCAATGACATAAAGACAAAACATTTATCTTGATATGCTTAAAAGCCAAGCTGTTCCATGCAAACCACATTTATTTTCTGAACAAGAAAACTTACAAAATGGCCACTGACATCCTTTATTTCATATCTGGATCCATAATGAAAATAGATTCTGTAGCCTGAAAAATGCATGCACAGGACCACTAAATAGTTAATGTATGTATCATTATATATATATAACACATATACACACATACATGAACTATTTAGTATTCAACAAATAACATTTAAGATTTATATATTCCATATATTCATACCCCACTTTTTTATTTGTTAGTATTAATTATAATGTAATGACGAACTAGAGGTTGAACAAGGGCATTATCACAGAATAGGCGAGTACACAAACCCACATCCCATGTGTAGAACCTACTTGTACAGTAGACACACAACCTCTCTGCTGCACTGACAGAACAGAAAACACGCCACCTTGCTTCCTTTTGGACCCTATTCAGCCTGCCAGTTGCCAAGCTCAGCCATGCGTTTTTCTGTGGTGCAGCCCTCTCTACCTGTCTCACAAGTCCCCGGTATGCTGCTGGGCCCGCCTGTAAAATCTCCATTGGCCCGGTCGACTCACACAACTGTCACCGTAGCTAGCCAGGACATAACAACTTTTAGTCCACACTACTGAGGCAATTTGATTGTCAGCGCTCCATGCGTACCTCCCCCCAAAAATATATAGTTCACTCAATGCCAGGACAGCCCCAATGACACCAACAAACTCCTCCATCTCTCCTTGTTTACCTCTAAGCCCTTGACCAGGCGGTTGGCCAGCTCGATGGTCTGGTTGGTACGCATCACCTCCTCTTGACAACTGATTTTCTCAATTGTGGCCCTTTCCACCTGAGTCGTCAGGCTCTGGAGGGTTGAATCAAGATCCTTTAGAAACAAATCAAAAAGGAATTGAGTTTAATTAGACACCATTAAGAAAAACTAGCTTTTAGACTAGATTTAATTAAATGTAACATTGCACTCACCGCCAATTTCTTTTGAACCGCTAACATTTTGGATGTTGCCGTGTCTAAATCTGCATTTGCTTGGGATAGCGCTTGCCTCTTTGGAATGACCTCACAATAAATCTGCAAAAAAAAAAAAATAGGAGGCATAATATGAAAAAAGCTCCATAGTGAAGAAAAAAATGTTCTGGCGGGAACATGTGAAATTCTATTCGGTGTGTGAAGATATTGCCTGACCTCATAGTATCTGACAATGTTAATGGTCCAGGCACAGAGACCCGCCGCAGCTGTAGATTTGGTCCGAACTAGATCGGGGTGGAATTCTGGGTTTCTCAGATACTTTTGTTTTACTGCAGTCAAACAGACCTCAGGGACATGCTCCTTGTCATATGACACCAGGGCTTGTAGGAAATCATCAACCTGACAAAAGTACACAAAAATAAAGGGAATATATTAATGACTGCACCGACATTTTAGGTGGAAACTCGTCAAGAATTAGTATCCGTAAGGAAAGTTATTCATCAATGAAACTTGAAAATCAGAGCTTAATGTTCATGTCAACAAGAGACCACACAACAAGAGTTATGATACAATCTGATTTAACTCTGTTAAACTCCACACAAATCATATAATCTCTTCTGTTGTAAAAAGTGTAATGGTATAATACTATTTCTGTTTAATAGTTGGCACAGAAAGGGGAAGAAATTTGAATTCATAATGAAAAAGCTGAGTGAATTTACCTGAATGTATTTAGATATGCATATGAAATATTAAATGTAAGTAAATGTATTTTTTTTTTAACTGTCCATTAAGGATCCCAGTAAAAAAATACCCCGATGATGTCCTTGATGTTCTTTTTTTTATTATGTAAATAAAAAGAGTAACAATAAAGAAATTCAGATTTACAAACCCCTTTTATTTTACAGAAAATGTGTTAAGAAAAGAAAGAATTAACCTGCGTTTCATACTAAATTCTGCAGGCATTTTGCCATCCAAATAAATCTTTTTATGGCCACACTTGCCTCCCTACTGAGTGAGCATATTCATAGAGCCATCTGAATGTAATGTGAGCATTGAAAAGATGCCGGCCAGGGCCGGGGTCAAGGCCTACACACAAATTAGATTGGCATTAATCAGGCAGACGCGTGATGAAAGCTTAACCTTGCCCATGAAGGCGCGCGCCGCCTTCCAACTCCGATCTTTAGGCACTCGACCGCGGGGCGCGAGCAGAACCATCACAGCTGCTGCCACGTTGATCACTGCCTCCGGAGGGTTTGGAAAGGCCTTCAGCTCAGTGAGATTCAACTAAAACAGAATAGTACAAATTGTATCGTCTTTGGTGCTAGCCAAAAATGTAATGCATTAGTGTGTCGTTTGATAAAAATGAAGCACTTTGTTGAGGGTGTCCAGCGCTGCTGTAGCTGCTGTCAGTGATGGCTCTGCCTTGTCAAGGTCTTTTTCGCAGTCCCTCTGTTTGACCAAGACTTCTGCCTGGATGACGGCAACCTGCACAAAAGCACCACCCATAATGAAATGAATTTAGACAATGTACTGAATGGTGTGGTTTAGAGAGGGAATGAAAACAAAAATGTTATAGGATATATCTCACCTTTTGGGCCTCAAGATCTGCAGCCTCTCTCTTGCTGCTCACCTTCTCAGTCTGCAGTCCAATCTTTGTAATCAAAGCCTCAATATTCAGATTTTTTAAGGTCAACTCAGCTTCTTGAGATGCCAACTTTGCTTTTAGATCTTCAACCTAAAATAGAGATAAAATGACACATACTTCAATGCGCAACATACTTAATGTCAAGAGGAAAACCCACACTGTTTAATTGAAAGACTACTACTATTCCTAATCTTACCTTCGCAACCTTGTACCGCAAACCTTAAATGAAACACCTGAGAGTATATAATAAAGACGTTTACCTGGACGGCAGTTGTTTGGAGTTTTTGAAGGCCGCTGACAAGCCGGTTCATCTTGTGCAGGAGCTGAGCCCGGCTCTTCTGCAGAAGGTTTCTGTACAGAGTGATTTGCTGGAGAAAGCTCTTGGGGGTGGTGTAATTGTACCTCCTCTCATTGCGCCGGTATTTTTCACTTGCATGGTTGACACTGGTGTGAACGTAGGCCATGAAAAGACTGATGGATTCCTGGACAGCAGGCTGTAAAAATAAGCAGACAAGGGGGGAGAGGGGAGAACAGGGTGAGCTGAATTGAGTGGAGTTTAACGTCCACAACCTGATGGGGGCTGAAATATTATCTTCATAAATTTTGAATTCATCTACAAGTTTTGCCGTTTTACTTGGCCGGCCATGACTTACTCAATCTGAAATTTAGGTGCAGCTGGAAGGAATGATTAGGCTTTGAAACCTCTGTGAAAATAATGTGTTCAGACTACTGACATGCAGCCTGTAAAACATGCACACTGTTTACATTATCTCTGTCCTCCAACTTTCTCAACTGTCTACAGGGGCTGTTGTACAACATTCAAACTTGGTATTCATCATTTGGTGCGCAATGACAGGGAGCCTCTATTAATCATACAGTTAGCAATCAATTAAAGAAAAAACAAATGAGAAGACAATACAAGGATCAAACCAAACCATATCTCACAAAAAGCCATTGTTAATGATCATGGAGCTGGGAGGAAAAATCATTATCAATTAAGATCTGAGACGATGCTTTTTGACAAAGCATGTTCAGTTGAGATGCGAAAGAAGTTCTCATTGATTGATCGGCTGTGTTGCTCAACTTTTGGGTTGAGTTGTGAATTTAAACATTAAATAAATGATCATTTCTAGTTTCCCAGCCTCCAACAAGATGAAAGATGACTATTGACTAGAAATGTATAGTAACGTCTTTTTTGTCAACTTTTAAAAATATATTTTTAATGCCCATTAACTGAAACTAAAACAAATGTATTTATTTTTTAATCCACAAGAAAAGTAAATTATTAAATCCTCCTCTTTCTATTACTACGAATTCACCAGGCTGTGACTAATTATTATTTTCATTCTGGATTAATCTGCTGACTATCGCCCCGATCAATCGCTTATTCTATACAGTATCTCTAGCCTGATGATTTGATCAATTAACGGATTAATCATTGCAGCACTGACTACTTTCCCCGTGCTCAAATACTGGTGTACTATAGCTACAACCATTACTTAACTCCCCTGCCTACCTCCAATGATACTAGTGCTGAGGATTCCTCTATACTTACTTACTAAGTACTAATGCTCAAATAATACCACTAAGTATTACAGCTACAGAAAATCCACACGTGGTAAGATACACACACAATAAATAGTCTGCTACGTACTCACAAATGTGATGACACTTCCTGGTTTTGACAGCTGTGCCTCCTTAGAGGGTCATTATGTGCTTAATCACTCTTATCTCATTAACATAAATGATCCCGGGTTGTGATCGTTCCACTGCGATGATGGAAAACAATGATATGCCTGCACTCACTAGGAGTCACCGGGCATGTGTTCAGCAATTTGTCAGTACCTCCGCGGAGAACTAATGATGAGGGATCTATGGAAAAGATAATCCAGCTGCACTGTAGCAATTAGAGGGTGTTCATTAAAATCTAGCTCAGTTCGGGAAAAGGGATCTAAGCCTATGGAAGATACTCTGTCATTGGATGCATTGCTGACAGCTAATACTGTTATTTGGTTATTGTTCACACACGCTTGGGGCGAAAGCAGGAAGCCACAAAATAACCCTGCCATTCAGAATTAGAACATTAGGATGAGAGAGATGGTTTGAATACAGTTGGGTTGTCAAGAGGCCTGACCTCAAGGTCTTCAATCTTTTGGATGAACCTGAAGCTGACCGACTGCAGGGCTTCTGAGGTCCAGGGATGGAACCAGTCAATGGTGGTGCACTGCACGAGAGCGGGGAACCGACGGGCACGAATGCGAAGGGTACTGCCCACGGGAGACAAACACAGCACCACCTACAAAAGAGGTCAGAAGGGAGCAAAACAGTCACCCAAGCAGACAAACACAAACAGGTCCGGTACAAATGTGCACCCTCATACTTGAACACAAGCTATCTAGCCCAGCGCACATAGAACAATACAACACAACTCGCAGCCTCATGTGGCCCCACTTCATCATCCTTGGCATGCGGACACAGGCAGCCACATTCCCAGTTGGCTGGAGCAGACGGTGACACCACTAGAGGCCCTGGCGCAAAGACTCGCTGGATGGCATACATGTGTACTGAGACAAGAATGTCCTTCCTTTTAACCCCCCCAGTTTGTCTGGCTCTGTTCAACATATTTAACAACACTTCACAGCAGCTGTGGTTTTATCTTTGTGGCTCAAAAAATATAGAATATCTACGATTACCTCATTCATTTCTGGTTGGGCATATCGGCTATGAAGGCACGTTCAAGATATCAAAATCATCTAGCACAACATTGATCGGATTTGTATTTCCAAGCTGCATTAGTCATTTTGTGTGTCCTCGACCTCAATAGCAAACTGACAATTCTTCTTAGGAGTTCTAGGATAATAAAATGCACAACAGGTTGGCTGTGTTAAAGCAGCTCAATATCTAAAAACACATTTCATGTCTTAATACTCATATTAAAAGAATCAATTTAATTAAGAAGTCCATATGAGTAAATAATGTTATTGGTGAATGCAGATAAACTCTGTTTATAGAAAACTTCTACCATCCATGGAGTCCCTTGTAAATCCACTTTGGCCAGACTCAATAACTACAATCTGAGGAGAACTAATGCTTTTTCAAAACCTGAGGCCTTATTGTAGCTGTTCTATCCTAAAAGTGCCAATATCGCCGGAACAATATTGCACCAACCGTCAAGACAAATTCCTTGTATGTCTGACATATTTTGGCAATAAATGTTTACTGATTCCTGATTCCTGACAATATGATGTTAACAGAAAGAAACTCACCAAGACATCATCAAACAGTAGTCAAAGATGACAAAATCGGCCTCAGTGAAAGGCAATCATACATCATTAAATTCACTTCTTTAGACCAATAAGCGGTGAAATACTGGCGAATGATCATTTCTTTCGATGGTATATCAGCAAAACTTGACCGTGAGTTGTAGTCGAACTCGGTCAGTGAAGAATCTCCAGCAGTTCTCCCTGATGTCCAGCAGTCCGAGGGCTCGGACCTCAGCTCTGACGGCAGACACAATGTCGTCGATCTCCTCCTCGCTGAAGAGCTCAGGAATCTCTCCTGGTGGGAAAGGAAGCATCAAAGCTGTCTGACAAACTCTTTATACAACGCTATCATTTCAGAATGGTGTTAAAGACCAAACATGTCTGATTTTCTCTCGTGGAGAAAAAGAGGAAACCCAGTTTTATTACTGTGAAGTTTAGGTCTCACCTGATGCCAGTAAATCATTAATAGTGACCAGAAATCGCTCATCAGGTATCTGTGAATCGGTCAGCAGCAGAACCACACGCTGGTTCTTCACTCCAGTCTTCAGGAATAAACCGGTCAGATCCATCTAAATACAACAACACATGTTATGAGTCCCCCAGGTAAATTAAAGTCAACAACAATCAATTAAACAACGTACCGAAACATTTCTCAGGTTTTAAATAGTAAACCCACACACACACACACTTATAAGTTGTAAGTTTTCATTAAAGCCAATTTCATGAAGCGACGCTGCACTGGATGTTCCGTTTGGCTCCAACATGAATATTTACCTTGAGGTCTTGGATGCTATAACCCTTACTCAGAGTGATTTGGAAGACTTCCACGGAGGACATGTAGGCAGCCAGACGAGTCAGGCTTTGCTTCCCACTTCCCCCGACACCAACCAGTAAGCCATGAGCCCCCGGAGACTCCAGGATACGACTGATGCGACAGCTGGTGGCAACAGTCTTTGTTAAACCATAAAACACCTCTATTCAAACAAGTGTAAAAAAAACAACAACAAACGAACTGTCTTCATATATCATATTCACATCAGCTGTATGGATGGTTTAACATATGCCAATGGCTCACACTATATTAGCATCATTCAATTTCATAAAGTTCTTGTACTTTTTCTGTTAAAATATTCTCTCTTCCTTCAGTTGGTGTGTTTTTTGTTTTAGGTTAAATTGTGGATGCAAAACAATACGATAACTACATGAAATGATTTCCTTTGATAATGTTTTGATCATTGGTCATTAGTTTATTATAATTTTTACAATGACATGATAAAACTATCAATACTTACACATGTTGCATGGCATCTTCAAACAGTACCAGATTCATGGCTGCATTGAGCTCATTGTAGCTCTCCAGGGCGTCTGTGAGGACGGACTTGAGTGACGCCCAGTCTGTAATCGGAACATAGGAGGCTTCGTTGCCTTTTTTGGCAAAGTGGCAATAGAGGAGCGGCAGCTTTGTCATTTTCTTTTCCTCCAGTCCCTGGAAAACGACACCTATATTAAATCATTTAAATCGTTTGATGTATTTTTAATTGATGGTGAATGACAAAATCGCGAATCACACCCTACAATATCTATTTAGTTTAGTGATCAGATTCTGTTTCGCACCTCAAAGCATTCATGCACAGTCTCCATCTGGAGCATCCGGAAGAGCTGCAGGTCCTTGACATCTACCAGTCTGTCTGAGTACACTCTACAGGACTCGTGGAGCCACAACAGTGCCAGGTCGGTGCTCTCTTCCACACTGTCCGGCCCAGCGAAGAGCATGCCCTGAAAAACAGAGAATTAACGGAATTTTTCACTTTGCTTTGAAAAGTCGTATTGCAAAAAAAAAAGCTCACGATCAGTACTACCTGAAAGACGTTTGACAAATCTCGTAGATTAAATGTGTAGTGAAATGTGACGGCTGTGGGCAGAAAGCTGTGAACCATCTTGTGATGAAGAGTTATGGCAGCTTGAACAACAGCTAATGCGCTCTTCTGAACCAACGGACTGAAGAGCCGCTGCTTCAGGTGGCCACAAAGGATCTGGCTGAAGATGGACATCTGAGCCCCAGAGGAAGGAAAGTTCACGGCAAACACTGAGAAATGTCTCTGTAGAGTAAAGGGACAACATCAGAGAACACTAAGCATAAATCCATCCTTACTTAAAACTACACGGTACCTAAAATCGTGAACGCATTGAATAATACATTTTGCTCTTTTGATCCGAAATCAGAAAATAAGATTGAGAGCCATGTAAGTGGGACACATACTTGTAGTCTGGGGTTGATAGTGAAGCTCCCAGCAGTTGGATTCATACAGGCGACATACTGGGTATTGTGTATTTCTTTTATGCACAGTTTCTGTCTATCATACCTATAGAGAGCAGAAGAAGAACGATTGATGAGATAAGCAGAACACACAGTGGTTTGGCAAATATATTTCATGGGCTGACATAAGACACAAAACTGAAAAACTGGCACAAAGGTATTCTCACCAGTGGCCATAGTCCAGATGCTGACGTATAAGTGTGTGAGGTTGCACTGTTCCATAACTGTCCACAGCGGGCATGTTGAGGTCGTCCAGGAAGTAGACTAGCCTTTTGTTGCCTACAGGGAAGAAGCTTCGGCCCGCTCTTTTCTCTAAGTGCCGCTCAAGATTCCCTACAAGAGAAAAATTTAACTACATATAAAGACAAAGCATTTTTTATAAAGAGAATAATCTATTTTTCAAACCAGATGTTAGAATGTCGTATGACTTAAGTAATGATTGCGGGAATGAGTGTGATGTTTTTACCGCCTCCACAGTTCCTGAACCTGAGCGTTACCAGCAGATGGTGCCACTGTTTACTTGAAGTTCTTGTCAGCACTAAATAACAATAAGAAAAAAAAAACTCACTCACCCTGCAGCATGAGGGAGGTGGTGTAGTAGTTGAAGGGTACTTTTGTTGTCACGTAACTCTCTGTCAGGCAGTCAAACTTGTTCTTGACGAGTGCGGTCTTTCCCACTCCAGCATTCCCCACAAGCATTAGTGGCTGTCTGCTCTCCAGCAACAAGTCCATGAAGTAGCGAAGTCGCACAGTCTCTGCTGTGTGTACCACAACAGCCTGCAATCATAGAAACAGCAGGAAGACTGAGAGCAGAAACATACATGGTTATTATGGCTTTCTTTGAGTGTGATTTATTGACAGACATGTGTTCAGTGAATTGTATGTGATTTATAATTTCTTGTACTTTCCCGGTACACCACAACTATTCTGTCATAATAGCATCATTTGCTCAGAACAAAACCCCACTAATTATGGCTCAGCAAGAGCCTTTGGAGCATTCACAGCTGTACGCAGGAGCATAAAGAAAGACAATAGAGTGTGGGTGATAGCTCAAGCCTTGTTGCTCATGTCTTCACCCCCACACAGTCTGGTATGGGGTGTAGTACATGGTAATCAGACACAGTGGAAAACCTATCATCCATTCCAGCTCCTGCCATAACCTCATGATTGGACTTTGCCCTCTCTTATTAGGTTCATTGAGGCAGACGTGCATTTTTAATATTCCTTGATGTTCATTTCTGGTTATTTTTCTTTAAGAAGGTTGCTCAAGATTATTTCATACGCCTGTGTTTTTCGTAGTTACATGAAGGGTGATACTCTTCCATTTTTTATGGCAGCTTATATTTCCTTACCTGTAATGGTGTACACGTTTCCATTTCTAAAGGAGGCACATTATCACTCCAGGGCAGGAACCGCTTAGTTTGAGGGTCAAGGTAGTAGTCAAACACTGTCCCCTGTGCTGGCAGCTTCACAGTCTTCATTTCTTTGGTCCACCATCGACTGAACTCCACCCGGTAATCATAGAGCTGGACAAATCATTGAAGATGTAATATCATGCATTAATTCATATAAACATCCCACCAGATGTTTTACATTCTCGACAGTTATGCTTATATAATACTTGGTCACTTGTCGGTCAGTAAAAGGCCTTTTGTGGCACATCAACTGCTATTTGTACCTTTCAAATAGATGAATAAAGACAAATCGAGGAGCAACTAGAGTGAAAAGTAAGCAGAGTATTACCAAACTATCCAATAACATTGCAGTCGCCGATGTTGTATGAAAAGCCCAGTCTATTAACACATTTTACTATAAAAAATGCTTTATTTTGGTCATGAATCAATTGATGATTTTCAGCTCCCATTAAATAAAAGGCAAATATTTTTTGGCATTATTAAAACACAGACATTCGGGAGTATTTTATTGTCTTGTTAACACTCATCCACTGAAATTACTGTTTCCGTCTACATGTGAGTTGATACAAGACGTAACTGGAATGAAATGAAAGGAATACCTGATCTTGAAACAGGGCTCCACCAAAAGCCCAGATGCAGGCGAAGGCAAAGTAGGTCTCATAGAGCTCCCGCGGAGAGTCCGATGGAATACCTTCTGGTGTTAGAAGGCAGTCGAGCAAAGTGCAGAGGGTCTGAATGAGAAAGAAATATAGATTTCATTCCGATTTGCTGGCCGTGTAGGTACAAAGGAAGCGATAAACTCACTGAATATGCATGCCTGTTGTTTACCTGCACCATGGAGTTTTCTGGGATAGGAGTAATGGTCTTGAAGCTGTTTTTAATCTTTTCTAGACAACGAGGGACATATTTTTCAAACATTATGGTGAGGTGGGCCTTTTCTGTCTGGCGTTGTCTTTGTTCAATCCAGCTGGCAACATACCTGAGAGAGAGAAGGAATCATTTTGTATTGATGTGCTGCTCTAAGTGAGTCTCCTTTGTCTTGTGAATATAAGCGATTTACACAACATAGTCACTTTGGCGCAACAACATGGTACTGACGATAATACAAAAACGTCTTTGTGATGAAAACAATTATTTGACTTTGAACTGTGTGACTCACGGGTTCCAGCCCAGGTCCTGTTGGTTGACATACAGAATTCCCGCTCTGGACACAGTAGCAGGAGTGGCCGTCCGGAGGTGACTGATTTCAAACACCAGTCTCATGGATGAAGTGAGCGGCACACGTTCATTACTGGCAAGAGTCAGCACCTGAGAGAAGTTATGAAGCATTACGTTTTGCCAATATCCTAACATTTGCATGGTCAATCAGACGAAAGGAATCTAACGATGAGGAAAACACCTTCATGTCTCATCAGGTTTGTTGCTTTTGAATATTTCAAATGGGCAACATTGCTGAGACTTGTGATCTCATTGCTGTGGAAATAGAGTTTCAAGAACTCCCACTGAAGGAAGTGGTTACTGAAGGAGGGGAAAGAAACATCTTTTTCTGTCTAAACCCCCTCGGTTGCTGTGTGTTTTACAATAGCGTATGAGTGAACAGGAGGGAGGTACCTTGTTGTCATCCATCACGGTGTTGAGTGATTCAATCCACATCGGATCAATGTCTCCGTCCAACACAATCCACTTAGGTCCTACGTGGGAGATGGCTGCTTGCTCTCGCATCAACGACGAAAGCAACCCTTAGAGAGACGAAGAACGCGAAACAACAACAGCCGAGATTACAAGGCGTTACAGCTGTTCAGATCTGGAATGACTTGGTTTGTGTGTTTTGCATTTTGTTATTCTCATTTAAAGACCAGCTTCGTTTACCATCTTTCCATTCTCGGGTTGCGTGGTGGATGAAGCCAAACAATTCATCTCTGTCCACTGCCTTTGGATTGAGGTCCTTCCATACAGGCTTCCTCTTCAAGTTTACATAGGTTTTATGAAGAACTCTCAATATCTATTGAAAAGATAAACACCTGATATGTGTGCACCTTACACTGATTAAGCATTTACTTTCAGAATTGGGAAGGCAGTAAATTCTGACCTGGCTTTTCCCAGTCCCAGCATTTCCAACAACAAAGACAGAATGACGCACTGCCATGAGTTCCTCCAACTGCACCACCTGATAAAATAAATGTAGAAACAGATTATTTCATTCTTGTTTTAAACACTGATCAAATATACACCATTTCTAATCAAACCTTAAGGATGAACGTCTCCTCGGGCTGGAGTCTGAGCTCCAGCGTGGTCTTTCGGATGGCCTTTTCAAATTCGCAGTCTCTCTCTCGCTCCACCTCCAGGCCTGGGAACAGATCTCCCAGCAATCCCAAGAAGATAGTCACATCCTCGGTGACAATTTTAGGCGTGTTGAAGTCCCTCAATGCACGCATCAGCACCTGAGAAGAAAAATGCCCGTGTAGAATATAGAGTCTTCCTCATGTGGCAGGGAGATTAAATACACACGTAAATCACCTGATCCTCTGGTCTACTCTTGTCTCTTCTTCTCAGTGCCCCTGCTACAACCAGAACAGACTTGACAGCACGCAAACCCCAATCGTAGTGGTCCTAAAAGAACAGAATCAACAGTAGAAATGTGTTTTCTTGTGTTTATATATTAAAAAAGCGCACATCCAAAAGGTTACATCCAAAGCTGTGCTCATAACGTGTAGCTGAAATATTTATTACTGATGCTCTCCGTTGTGATCCAACATTATGAAATAGAACAGGGCAATTAAGTGTTTTTCACCTACCTGCTTAGAAAGCAGTTCTTTGCAGAGATTGTACAGAGTAATGAACTTCCTGGCTAGAGGCTTCGCACCCCGGAAGCCTTCAGCTACCAGCATGATCTCACAAATGAGCTCAGTGTCAGGCACCACCATGGCACAGGGTCTGCAGCAGGACACAGACAATGCAGACAATGAACTGAGGAATGCTGAGTAGAGGCACACTATAAATAGAGTTACTGATCACGCTCACCTGAAAAGAGCCTTGAGGTTCTCAGGTAGCTCCGTCCTGCCTGCATAGCCAGGGTTCATTGTGATGAAAATCCCCACAGAGGGCTTTAAGACAATGTCCTCATCTAAGAACAGGAACCTACGAGGTTGCATAAAGGGTTAACACATGTCGAGGATAACCATTACTACTATACTACAGCTCAAAGGCTTCACACTACCAGCTGCAGCTGGTTACCTTTTCTTTTTAGTGCGGATGGCGTCGTGTATGGTTTTGACCTGCACTGCTACAACTGACAGAACATCCACGGCGATGCGATTGAACTCATCAAAGCAGCCCCACGATCCCGTCTGGGCCAGACCCTTGTAGATATCACCAATTGACTGATAATCAAGTAAAAATAAATATATTTTCCATTTAATTATATATTACTGAAGTATAGTCAAGACATAAACGGAACAAAGGGAATAGTTGTGAATGACTTTTTCACCTTGTAGTCCATCTGTTCAGAACAGTTGAAGATGTACACCATGACGCCCAAGGCTCTCCCAAGATCCTTAGTGGTCTCAGTCTTCCCTGTTCCAGCGGGGCCAGCTGGGGCTCCACTCATGGTCAGGTGCAGCGCCTGAGTTAAGGTGATGTAGCACCTGAAGATGCCAATGGCAACAGCACAAAGAGAAACACAAAAGGTGTTTAGGCAAAATCCTGACTGTAGCAAGGAAAATTGATTAGAGACGGGGTTACCGGTCTGTGAGGGGGGTGATGACTAGACGCGGCGTATTCCCAAGGTACTCATACGAGTACAGGAACTGGGCATCACAAATGTTAACAAAGCAGTGATGCTGCTCTTCGTTCCAGCAATGCCGGAGCTGGGAAAGCCACTGGAAGGCCTGTGAGGTGGTGACCTGTGAACACATGCGATCGCTATTTTAAACTACAGATATTATGTCACCAGAGAGAAGGGCAGCAGGTAATATGATGATCATAACTAGTTGAAAAGTTCAAGTGTGGTTTAAGACTATAGTTTATCATTTAGTCTAAACATTAGGTGAAATGTCATTTTTAATTTTCATCGCAAATTCTAAGAAAGCTAGTTTTTTGTTTGTTTGTCATTTTAAAATGAACTCAATTGGACTACAAAGAAATGTGTATTATGCATTGATTCTTGCGATTACCTTTTGGGCGATAAGGCTGGCAACAATGTCTCTAGCATGGACATCAATGGTGCACAAAGTCATGATCTTCTGTCGGTCGCCTGTGCTCAGTTCTCCCAGTAGCATGCCGATCAACAAGTTCAGCTGAGAAACCTCGAAGCGGGAAGAAAAGCATATTTAAAGCGATGCAGAGGAAAAAAGGCAGAAGTTAAATATGCAAATTGAAATTTACACAAAAGATGAATTGGCAAAAAACATTGCAGTATCTTACAGTAAGTCATAAAAGCAATCAATGCAGAACAACATACACAGTCAGTATATTAATATGGACCATGCAATCAGGAAATTAAAAGTGTGTTCTTGTTCCAGAGAAAAACATCACTGATGTCTTGCATGTGTTACTGATGTTGTGCCACAGCAGCAGATCCAATCAGTCCGGTGTATTAAAGGAAGGGAAGGATTATTCAAACAGCAACCAAGGACATGGTAACCTTAAATATTGCTGATGAAACTGACAAGAGTGATAATACCGTGTGAGCATAGCCAAGGCCTCACATGCCCATCTCAGGTCACTGACTCTGAAGTGATTCCGACGGCATTATGGAAAACATGTCCAACGTCTTTAGCAGTTGCCACTTTACTCACAGATGACTATTTCTAAAGTGTCAATTACCTTAACTCTTGTTGTAACAAAATGTATAACAGTGCAAATAGATTCCTGTCAGTTGTTGAGGTCATGGTCTGCGGTGGTGTTGTCCTGAATCCCAATTTCGTGGGAGATAATACTCATGATAATCATATTCAGAGCACTTGTTGGTGTGTTACCCTTATCATAATATGTACCTGTTTCTTGTTGTATTCTTTAAGTGCAGTCTCAAATCCTTCCTCCAGTCTTTTGAACACAAGCTCCATATCATTGCTCCACCAGATCTGGGATCCAATGAGAGCCACTTGGGCAGGAAAGTCAAGAATCCACTGCTCTCTGGGCTTGTCCTCGTACACAGACACAGCCTCGGACAAATGACCCCTCACACATTCCTTCATAGACTCCTCCAGACCAGAAAGCCATGTCTCCACCTGACATGAAATCATTTTTTCTATTAGTTTAGATCTTTATCTTATTAAATTCAAATTCTTTAATACGAAGTACAATCTTACCGGCCCGAAACAGAAGCATTCTTTCTGGAATGGGACATATTCTCTCTCTTTGCTGTACATGCCCACTACGAGTTTAGGGTTATCCAACTGTTCGTTTTTGGCAAACTCAAGATCAGAGATGCTGTCAAATAATTTTGAGAGGTGAACAGTTACCTGCAAAACACATTACACATTATAGACACGGGAGTGAAGTAAAGACACTGGACAAATATTAAAAACAAAAATCAAGCGAAATGCCACATAAACCTCTCTGGGCCGACTCCCTTTGGAAAGGATGTCCAACAAGTCTGCAGAGGAAATGAAGTAGAACCGTGGAAAGGCAAGTCTCTTTGTCTCCAAGTATTCAGCGAGAGCTTTTTCACACAACGTAAGCCTGTTGAAAGAGAGAGTTTGAGAATAGTGACCAAATCCAAACAGGCTGTGTGTAGTGCAGTGAAAGAGCAATCAAATAAAAGTTAACCTTGTTTGTAGATCCTCTAACTTCTCAAATAGATGAGGTTTGTTGGTGGCCTCAATGACATTTACAGTCTTGGCACAGTCCAACATTAGTTCCTGAAAGAAATTGCTATGTTTACAATGATGGAAACAATGGCGTTCGCATAACTTTGTGACTGACATGGAGGTGCAGACCTGGAATTCAACATCTATAGTTTGAAATCTGTCAGCATCTGCAGGCAGCTGTTGGCAGATGTCATCACAACTTTTGAAGATGCTTTCCAGGTAGACCCACGTCCTTTGGACCTCGATCCAAACCATGAGCACGGAGTCAGCCACAGTCAGTTGTTTCTGTAGCTCTACCACCTGGAACAGGAAGTGATGTACGTGCTTGCTCTGAAAGATGCCCTGGAGCTGAACCTTGAGAAAGACAAAAGGATTGGATTCAATGTAATACTCAAATACATGACACTGCTGAAGCAATATCTCAATAACCTTTGACCTCAAAGCAGGAGTCAGTTTAATCACAATGCATGTTGAACCTCATCTGCATTCCATGCCATAAAAAATGGGGGAGGGAAACAGTCTGTTTCTACAAAGATCTAGGCATTCAAGTGGTAAGCCTTCTAATTGCTGGCTATAACCCCCTCCCCCACCCCCACCCAATACATCTGGTGGACATGTACAAAGACCGCCGCAGAGCAACAATGTCCTGTGTTCTAAAGCAGCTATAAATCTAGAGACTCAATAGGGACCTCTCTACTCTCAGCTGTGCTGTTAGACAGTCAGACAGGGCGGCCCCTTCCTGCACTCATCTCTATTCAGCACTTAACCATCAGTGCTTCTCACAGAGAACTGGTCTTGAGAACTCCAGGGGAAATAAAGCCACATGTAAAATCTTAGTATCAATTTCAGAAGTTTAAGATGATTACCTGATGATCTTCAAGAGTTTCGATAAGTTCCTCATCACATTTAAGAAGTGGGACAGAGGTTTGGTAATGATCTTCGTATGCGAGCTCCTTTGATTCCCAAGTTTGACTTATTTCTGTCACAACCTGAAATAAAAAAAGGCATCATGACAAAACCCAAACCAAATATGGTAATTAAAACTGAAAATCATGATTTTAGTTTTATTTACGTAAAATGAGGTGTTAATTTATTAATCAAGAAACTTCTCATTAAAATGACGAAACCCACTTTCATAAGGCTAAAAAAATCTACTCATAGAAAAGGTTTTGTGGTTCAGCTATCTCAATAAAGCTGTCTCATAGATTTCCGTTTACGACTTATTTGACTACAATCTTTTAGGTGAAGAAGAACCTTTTCTATGGCCATTTCTTTGACCGCCTCGTCCACTATGTTGCGAACTTCGTCTTCGAACAAATGGAGCTGCAGAGCCAAGAGGTTCTCCAAGGTGGTACCGTCGGTCACAGACAAGTCCATCTATTTCAAAAGATTTGATTTTCATGATGCAAAGTCTCAGATTTCTGTCACGCAGGGAGAAAACATACTGCCGACTGATGTGTGTATTTATGCACCTGTTTTGCTGTAATTAGCTTCACCCAGTGGCGCTCTCGTACTGCAGGGTTCTGCAGCTGACTCACGGCCCGAAGTGACGTCAACAGGTTCTTTACATAAAGGTCCAACCCAGAATACACATCCCACACGCGAGCCTCCTTGTCAAACTTCCGTATGTCCTACACAGACAGAAGGTTGGTCAACATAATTACTTATTAGAGGCATCTGTTGCAAACACCAACGGTGCATGACAGCAACACAGCAGGAGAGATATTCTGGTGTGATGCAGCGCTGTTGGTGACCTCACCTTGGCAAAGCTCCTCAATTCTGCATCCATCTGGTCCACGTTTATCTGCCTCCATTTGGTCATTGTCCAGTTTTCCACACTGCTCTGTATAGATAAAGACACATGCAGAGGGGTCAATGGGTTGAGGGTACTTAATGGGGACATTTAGAGGCTACGAGGTATTTAAAGAATAGACGACAGCCTCCGAGAGCAAAAGCTAGTCAAGTTAGTGAGTTATTGCAGCGTTGTCGGTGCAGATGAGGCGTTCAAATGTATTTTGCTCGACAGTGTGATTTAAGCTACTCACCCTCACATACACAACACTGTCCCACAGTTCTTTGAGGACAGTGATCTCTCGTCTGCACAGCTTTATCTCTCTGTAGTCGGGAATGGTAACGTCAAACAGATTCGTGGACTCCTGTAGATCTGCTACCTCTTTCTCCATGCGTCGGACAGCTTTTTCAGACTAGAGAACAGCACATGGTGATTGTTATCCAGAGTGTACAGGATAATACAATGTTATTTAATTGATGTACCAATGTTTAAATCCATACTTTCTCCAGAGTGATGTAGGGATCAACTGCATTGTAGTTAAAGGGCGTTGTCGCTCTGAACATCTCCCTGAATTGGCTTTGTTTCTCCTGAAAAAGAAGTAGCCGTTTGATAGCCTTCATTGGTTCAAAATACAATTCCTTCAACAATGTACATAGATAGTATCTTTGGATATATGAGCTTATCGCCAAAGGCCACCTCAAACGCCATGCACCGTCTCCGTATCACCATCACTTCTGCATTCTGCATGGGTGCCACTTCATGCCTCACTCTTAGGGCCAGTTTTTTGGCCCCACTCCATTTCTCTGGAAGTTCCTGTTGCGAGAATTTGATTTATTTCGCAATGGTTGAATGCCGCAAAAATATTTAGTGAATTGATTATAATCATATTATAATCATATTATAATATTGTTTGAAAATATGGATCATCCATTACGTTTCTTACCTCCAGCTGAAAATAGACCTGGTCTGGTACGGTCACTCCATACTGTTCCAGGAGGGTTATTGTGTCCCTGAAAGGCTCAAACATCTCGTCCGTGGCTGCTTGTCTATCTCGGACTGCCAACAAGTGACTCATCACTTCCACCAAGCAGCGGTGGTTTCCTTTAGCCACAGGCTGGCCCAGCCCTTGAACAGTGGCTCTTACAAACTTCTGGAGCTCATCAAGACTGGGACAAAAAAAACAACTGCTGTTACAGTTTGGCCTGTATTTAACAGCTGTGCAGAAATGTGTCATTTTACCTGTTAGTGACATAAGTCAGGAGGTGTTCTTTGAAAAGCCAGCTCCACTTCTTTATAGCGTTAAGGAGGCTCACTTTAAAGGGCTTGACGTCCACTCGAAACCATCCATTGAAAACTGTGAAGTCTTCGAGCTTGGAAATTTCCGCATGCAGATCCTCATAGTAATCAATCTATCAAAATAAATACACGTCAGCAATTTAGACACATGTCATGCATGGGAAAAGTGATTCATGATTAAAAAAGGCTTCTTACCTGTTCTTTGAAGTTATTGATTGTGGGCGGGCTCTCAAGGAGTGCATCTGCACCACAAGCCTCTGTCTCTTCAGCCGTAAGTACACTTCCATACAGAAGAAACTGGCTCAGAAACTCAGCCCTGTCATCTTGCCAGAGATGGGTGTAGCAATCAAACTTTCTCTGGTAATTTATTGCTTTCCTGATGACGTTCTCCACTCGTTCCATTACCTCTTGTCTCAGGTCAGACAGATCTAGCATATCATCCATTACATCCTGTAGGAGTTATACCACATGACCCATCACATGAGGAGAATCTACTATTTGTAGAAGAAAACACGATAATGAGTTTAGAGAAAAAGGTTTACCTGGTAACTCTCGACGCTAAGATGAGCAGCCACCCTGTTGATGTTCAACGATGTCTTGAATATGTCTCCGACCAGTCCTTCTATCAGCTCGTAGAGGCCGTCCCCTGCATCTTGCACCAAGGAGGGGAGGTTAACCATCCCTGAGCTGGTCAGCATTAACTGAACCTCAAACAGAGGTGCCTGGTTGGGCCTCATTTCCATGTTGTCCGTGAGGTACTGAAGAGATTGACGGATGTAGCAGAAGAGCCCCTCCACCACCATCTCATCCACATACTCTAGGTAGCACTGCCATGCTTCTGACGCGGGGTCGGCGCGGAAAAGGACCATATTCTCCTGATGAAATTGTTATGATATTTAAGAGATGGGGGATCACAACAACTGGCTTCAGACATTTATTTTGAGGTGTTCAGAATAACTAGAGCATGTATATTTACATGACTTTCCATTGGGTTTCATTTGTCCAATGTTGACATAATCGAATGTCAACATGTTATCTAATATTATCTGTATTATCTTATTGTAAGGGAAGTGGCTCTGAAGCCAAACATAAATGATGAATATTAATAAATAACTCAGGCTTTAAGATGGTAAAAGGTTTGGGACCCCTGCTAATAATTCCATGTTGTTTGTCCTTCAATTTGCAGGAGAGCAATAAATTCATAGTGCACCAGAGGGACTGGTGTCATGCGTTTAGCAACACGCACCTGTATCAACTTGTGTATAGAGTCGCCATCCTTCTTCAAGGCCTCGTTCTTCTTGTTGACACGGTCTCTCCTGTCTTCCAGCTGTATCAGCGAGCCTCTCTTGTTGTCCTTTCGGCTAAACATGGCCTTTTTGCTCCATTCCTTCATTATTGACTGGATGGCTTCGCAGTTTTCTTTGGCGCCACTGACTCGACACACAAGGTTGTGCACCAGGTCTTTGGTGGTGCTGATGAAGCTCCAGCAGTCTGGATCCTGCCACGTCAGGTCAGACTCTGCTCTTGTTAACTGCACATCGATGGACTCCTGCTCAACTTTGATGAGGGGAAGTTCCACCTCTAGCACTGTCTGCTTCAGCTTGTTGTACCATTGTACTAATAGCTGCAGACTGCTCACATACTGAAAAATACAAGTGTGGAGAAAATATATACCCCGAGATGCCGACTACAAGACAATAGAAAAGACATAATGCTTCCTATTTTTGAACAAATATGTTTGTTTCTGACCTTTGAGAACATGCCACGCATCTCAAAAACCGTCATTGCAGCTGCAGGGATCTTGATTTGGCCGAGAGTCTGAATATACTTCACATCTTTTAAGACTTCCGTAAGCTGAGAAATGACACGAAATGAACTGATATACATGATCACAGTGGGTAGGTGGCAAAATGTTGGGTTTCAACTAACAGAAACCATTGTAGAATGAAATAAGTCAAATTATATAAATTGTCCAAAAATATTTTTATTTATAATTCACCAAGAATTGACCTTAATGAATTAGTGACCTGCATCTACGCTTTGAATCAGAAGAAAATTGATCTTTGCCATACTGAGTTAACTAAATCATACTAGCAGAGATTCCAGTTTTGAGGGAACTTGACTTTGAGGGAATTCATTAGTTCATTTAAGCTCAGACATTACTAAATCAGTCATACAGTAAGTTGGGATGTCTGCATAATGTGAAATGTGCTTTTTAGTTTGCAGGGACATTAAACTACCTTTGGATTGAAGTTGAGTGAGATCAGGTCAGATGAGGTATCTCGGGAGAGAAGGGGCTGGTTCAGGTTCATCAGGCAGGCCTGTTCCAAACCGTTACACCAGTCAGAGTAAATGTCTTCCTCATATCGGTCCAGGAGACTCAACATCTCTGTGTACATGTGGTGTTCCTTCGCCATCTCTACACCTCTTGCATGCCTGGAAATATTGCATAATTGTGAGATAACTGTCATTTTTAAACCACACAAAATTGCCATCTTGTATGTACATCTTGTGTTTGTAAATAATACATTCACTGAAAATAGTTTGGTGTTTCTACTGACATATTCAACAGTAATCGGATTCTTTCCCATGGAGTTTGAATTCGTTGTCTGAGCATTTTTGCCCACTTCAAAGCTCCAGATGAGTAAGCCGTGTTCTTAGTCAGACCACTTTCCATCTGTAAACAAAGGAAGATTGCACAAAATTGTTGCACGGACAATACCGATTGTGTCTTGAATATATATTGCTGATTTTCCATTTTGTTCCATTACCCGAGTCAACTGGGATTCAAACAGATATTTACATCTCGCCAGCTCTTCACTCAAATGTTGCTGCAGTAGAATGAAGTTGGGACTGAATATCTGTCTGATTTGACTTCTCTCCAGGAAGGGTCCAACAATGGTAAGCATCTAAAAACAAAAATACAAAAACCAGTCTCTCTCTTCACTTTTATAAATACCGTCATCAGTACAATCGTAATATCCAGTGTTCCTTACTTTTAAGGTTGATTCCAGTCCATGGCAATCCTTGAAGGCCAAGCATAGAAGACTGGCAAGGCGGCACTCCAAGTCCACAATCCTCACTTTCAAATCCTTCAGCTCGATTTCAAATCCCTTATCGAGTTGATGAATTTGAACAATTAAGCATGATAGACACCAATGCAGAACAGTGCATTACAAACATGCTGTATTTTCTTTCTTAATCTGCAATCGATATGCCAATAGACTTCATTTCACCTGAGAGTTGAAATCAAGTGGGTTGTTTTCACTGTGCATCAACACTTGGCAGTGGTTACTGAACTCTCTGTACATCTGAGCCGCATGCTCGCTGTAGATTTTGCCATTGAGTCCAGCAAATTCCAGTTTTTCCATCCTCTGAAAGTCCAGCATCACTTCAAACAAGTCCTGCAAGTAAAAAATAAGGTAGTGAGACATAAAACAAATATTACCTTCTTCGGACAACTGAATTACAGAAAATAAAAATCTGTCTCACCTCCAGCTGTTGCATTCGATCAAGGAACTGGTCGAAACGGGCAAAAACCATGGCAGATGGGAAATCCCAGGGTGCATGTTTCACATGGTTGGCCAACCTCTCCCTCTGGGTCTGGTAACTCTGTCTGAAAGATCTAAATACTTGTATCACCTTCTTTACCATTTGTTGACTTTCCTCTGGTTCCTCGCGGAGCAGCAGATCCACAGAGAGGTATGAAGAGGCCTAAAGAGTGCAAGATTTTACATCTGGGAATGTGTTCAAGCATACAGCCGATAACTGACTGACATTGGCAAAGTATCCTTTTTTTTTTAAATCAATGCATCATGTATAACTGTATTCAAAACTATTTCAAATGTATGTATCACACAATTTATTCTTTACATCTGTTTAACAGGAGGATTCCTACCTGCTCAATGAACAGATTGCACAGCTCCTGCAGTAATACCACGACGCGTGCTGGTTTTTGATAGGACTGGCAGTTGCTCCAGATAAGGAAAATTGTATGTAATAATGCCGGGATGAATGTTTCAAAGAGAGGAAATCCTCCCTTCTCCAGTTGAGACAGCTGTGCATGCAGTGGCTGTAGATGAATGTCAATGTCCTTGGCTTCTTGAAGTGCTTTTGATTGAGAAATATTGCATTTGAATTAAAACATCTCAATCAGAGAGAATACATTCTGGAAATAACATTATGCTTTGCATCAAAGATTTGACACGGTGCAAACTAAAAAATGTCTCCTTTGGCTTTGAATAGGGGAAAGCTCATCTTACCATCAAATACATTTCCAATTAGAGCCATGATTGTTGGATGATAGCTGCTATCCATCATTTTTAAGATCGTGACCATTTTCTGAACAACGGCACTCTGAAGCTACGAGGGAAAGTACCATACATGTTAATCGGAGTGGAATGCCAGGAGATTAAACTTGTTGTAGTGAAGATCTGAAGAAAGGGGAAAAATACCTGGCAATAAATGTTCTCTATATTGCTCTTCCTGGATGCCCAAAACGTCAGCTCCGCATCGGGCCCTGGATTGCAACCTGTCCGAAGTAAGTCTGACGAATCCTCCTTTAAAATCTTTTGGATCAGATTGGTCCAGTTGATGACCTGGGTCTCTATGGCATGGGCCAGTGCCCTGTCATAGTTATTGCACCTGAGTGAGAAATACATGTTGGGAGTGTTTGTTAATATATACGGTAAACATCCTACGCCCAGAAACACAATCTAGATGCGTGTGTCTCCTTACATTTTGAAGGTGCTGAAGGAATTTTCAATCCAATCCATCTCTGTTGGAATAGGCAGGACGCTTTTTCCTAAAATCTGTCCCCTGACAACTGATGTCTTACTGCACATCTTCTCTCCATGTAGAATAATGTCTTCAGATATCAGATTGGGCCACGTTTGATGGTTTTTGTTGTTTGACAGCAGGGGAACACAAACCTTTTGAGGAGACAGAATGAATTCAACAATACAATAAAGTGTGTGTGTTTACTGAAACAGCTTCATGGTGGAGGCAGAACCATCACCTGCTCTACTGTGTTGGACAGCTGCAGCGTTAGTTGAGATGATGGAGACTGGAGGCCAAAGAGCAGGAGTTCCCTGTAGTTTTCAGAGGTGATCGGAACAACTCTCTTCTTGAGGATGTAGATTTGTTTATTTTCAGTATTGAGTGGGACCTACATTTGAAATAACATCAAAAGATTTGACAATAAACAGAAATGACACTTCCAAGTAATCAAATCGAATCTGTCGAACTGAAATAATACACCTGAATGACCAAAGAGTAACGTTAGCTAACGTTAGCTTCCTACTCAAGTGAATCTAGGTTAGCGTCAGTGACGTCAGTAACGTACTATTAACGCTAGCTTACGGTGATTAAAGACTATGTGAACAAACAAAAAAATACATACAGTTACCTCTTTAGAAGCAACCAGGCCGGCTTTATTCGATGCAGAGATAAATATAACTGTCTCCTTGTCAAAGAAGTTTTTTAAGAGCGCTTGGAAGTCTCCGGTTGCGGCCCTCTCGCCCCAGGCTCGGCCGTGCAGCCGCAGCAGCGCACGGACGTTTCCCTCGACAAACTTCACCCGGTCGTCCTCAAGGAAAGACGACACACGTTCTTCGTCGGACATGATTGCACTACGACCGGGACATCACTTCAGCCCCCCCGTCTCTGCGTTTAACCGAATGAAAACTGATCCCGTGGCAGCTCCAGAGACCGTCCACTAAATTAGCTGTTTCATCTGGTGTAGTTGTAGTTGCTAGATACTTTTTATGTCTGTTTGCAAATAAGGAGGACGAGCTGTAAAGTCCCGGGAGGCGGTTCTGCATTCCGTTGCTTAGCAACGGGCAACTCTCTTCAATCAGTGCCAGAGGACTCTTTGGCAGGTGTAAAACAAATTCCTTCTGTTTGCCCTGATACCGATGAGATACACGACAAGGTTTTCCCCTGCTCTTCTATTGTTGTGTGCTAGTGGATGGAACAGGTTTGTATTTGTTAAATGCAAAAGCGGAGGAACAATGTAAATACAGTTCAAAGTATTTGTTTACTGTATGACCAGACGGTAGCACGAGGGTTAGAGTAGAGTTTTTTAACTAAAATCAGTCAAATATTAAATACAGAATTGAACAAAAGAGAAATGAATGTCTGTTTGACGGTTCTACTCAGTGTGAAAATCATGACCTGCAGTCGTTTTTACTGGGCAGTTGACCAATGAGTAAACTAGTCTCTATACAACATTCCTGGTTTAAACAGATGCAAATCTCTGGCCCCTTTTATGATACATATGTGACAGGACAGAAAAGAGCCATGAGCCTAGTTTAAAATAGGCATAGTCAGCAGTAAAATGTAGGCGTTTGTGATATATAGGTGCTTGAGACGTTTTTGTCGTCTGGTTGTCTTAGTAGAAGACCCAGCAACTACCATCTGCAAGGCACACGAATAAATAACAAAAATGCTTCTTTGGAGTAGCTTGATGATTGAAGTTATATGCTAGTCTATTTGTAAATACACACAGTACTGCAAGTATTTGTTCAGTATAATAATGTGTGAAATGGGATACTAAGCAGTTTTTTTGCTCAAGCATTGTAACAAATTCTGAGAAATGTACTTTTTTTCCTTCTTTTTTTTATATTGAGTCTCATCTTCAGAATAAAAAGAAAGAGTGAGACAAAATCCTCAGGTTTGCAGGTGGCACTGCGCTTTGGACTAACAATGACAAGACCATCTACAAGAAGAAATTGCCTAACCTGTTGCTATGGTGCTAATAACAAGTTGGAGGCAATGCATTCAAACAGTTAGGATGAGGACGGCTCCTGATGCAATCCACACTGCACAGACGCATACATAGTTGAGAACCTCATACAGTCATTTGCTAAAAAATCAGAAAACCCTTAGAACAATCATCCCAATATCAGATGAGTAGAAAGCACCTCCCAAATAAATAACCAGAGTTTCTTACAAAACAATACCTGAAACCTTTTCCTGCCAAGACGTGTTCGACTGCTAGCGTTCCTAATATCTCCATCTCTGTTTGTTGTGTACCATTAAATCACAAATAATGTGCTTCAATATGACTGAAAAGATTAAAGTAATAATCTCTTACGGCTATTGTTAATGGTATTCAAATAAGTGAATCAGTTATAATTCTGTTACTAGGCTTAATCTGTTAATTAACGATAATACAGTTTAGACAGCTCAACGCAAATTGAAATTGTAATATCAGTATCGTTGTACACAGTGTACTTTGTCTTTTGTCCATCAAAATGGCACAAAGGTACATTTGTAATCTGAAGCAGCTCATCAATGACTGGCAGTTTCCACAGACTTTTGTTGATGATCCCGTATTGATCACCAAACGGAATCACAAAAAAACACTCCATCCGGACAAACAATCCAGTAAGCCGCAGCAAGCAAGCAAATGTCCTTTGTGAGTCTGAATTATGTTATGTTTCCTCCTAATCCTTAACCAAGCTGTCTCTGAAACCACACGGGTAAACTGTATAAAGCTTTACAAGGTGAGTCATCTCCCACTGTGTTGTTTCTAATAATAAAGAGAGGTAAGATACATATTTTTGTTTATTTATTGCTTGAGTTACGTCAACCTTTATCTCCACAATGACATTCTTATTGCATTTAGGAAAAACACTCGATAACAAGCATTTAAACCAGTTTTACTAACTCTTTCTGGAAGTTGATGCTGAGTAGAGTTACATTTACTTAATTAATCCCAATTGGTGTGTGCAATTGCTTCAAAGAAGTGCATCATCCGAACAAACAACATATTTATACATATGAAAAAAGCAATCATAGCAAGTATTTTTAGCATTACAAATACATTGTAATAAAATTGACCAAGTTAAAGGGATGAAAGTGATGAAAGATATCATAATACATGCAGTTTAGATGTAAGTACTAAACGCTTTTACTTAATCACATTAAACTACATTCCACAGTAGTTTACATTGAAAGAATTGAGGTGATTAAAACCCTTCTGTAAATGGAAATTATACTTCAATAGGACGGCAGCCACATGCAGTGAGAATATAGCATCTGATCACAGGTCGCCCTCTATAGGATGGTGTCGAGCTGGGGCTATTCTTGACAGCATATTCTCTAAGAAGAAGAGCAGTTTTATTAATACAGCCCATAATTATAGATTTGTGCCAGACGTCTTCACAACACGAAGAACATACAACATCATCTGCCTGTCTCAGTTAAATGACACGGTAACGCTGTGTACTGTCTCTCTGTTGTTTGATAAAGATGAAATCAACTACTCAGTGAAGTTTTCAGCATGATAAAGAAATGTAATTTTCCTTGAAAAACGTGGTTTAAGCACCATTCTAATGTTGGCTATTCGCATCTTCACCGTCACCGTCAACGGAGCCCTGCAGAGGGCACTGGCTTTTCTCTTTTGACAGATCCTCATGTTTGTCCAGGGGACACGGCGGCCCACCGAGGAAAGGGGACAGTTTGAGGCAATGAATCAAGTTAAACATGTTTGTTTCATAATAGATGGAGAGAGAGGGAGAGAGCAGCTGATTGAAAAGTCCGGAAATCAATTGATAAAGCACAGCACGTCAGGAGGGGACAGAGCTGCCTGCGTCTGTTTGAATGACCTCTCGTCCGCAGAGGAGTCGATCAGACTGACTGAAACAATGTATCGTGACGTATTCCTACAACTGATTGCGCCACACATTTCTCCACTATTCACGTCTGATGCGAGCAATAATCTATAGTTTCACTCTGTTGACGGCCAATAAAAGCCTAAATGTAGGAGATTTGGCCTGCAGGGAATTAACGCCCCTTTAATTTTAATATAAAAAAAAACATGACAGTGAGATCTCAGTTGGCAAATAATCCGACCCGATGGCGCTTGAGCTCTCGGGGTGTTAAGCTCCAGGTTGAACAAATTAGTTAGCCCACGCCCGAGGGTATCTGGTGATAGATATGTGGTCCAGGGGGACCGGGGAAGGCGCAGTAGAAACAGACGGCCGCTTATCTTGAAAGGCTTGTTTTAAGTGCTCCTCTGCTGGGAAACAAAAAGCTTTAAGGGCACCTATTAACCTACAATTGTTGTACAATTCCCATTGTTTAGTTTGTTCACACACAGGCAAATTAAGGCATATGTCATGCATTCAGGCTTAGGTTTAAACTTTATGGAATGGAATTACAAGAGTATAAATAGCCAGATAAATCAGAGCCTCCAGTGTGAGAAATGACTATTTTTCACAACATTAAAAGGCACATACAGTTATCGTACATGTTGTGTGCCAATGCTTGTACCAGGGGCATGCCTGTGGGTGCATGTGTCTACAAGGCAGGGTGGGATGATTCCATTGGAAGCTGGGACCTGGCGTTAGGTATAGGACTCCCCTGAGGAAAGCCAGGCCACTCGTGTCTGAGGAGGCTGGTTTATCCCACTTAATCAGCATCCTGAGAGACTGGCACTGCCCCCCATGGCCACAATGCCTTGGGTCAGTGCATGCTCCTCAAAATAAAGAGAAGGCCCGCCAGACAATGCTGCTGTCAATCAGCCTTAACCTGAGCTGGGCCCTTTATTCCTCATACAGTGTACTTGTGTAGTCATTCACTCCATAAATGCAAATGATCTCATCATTGTTTTGACTAACAGGAGACGATACACAGATAATTATTTTGCATATCAACCACTGGGATTTTGCACAGTTAAGTTTCCCTTTCTGCATAGTAAATAATGGACCATACAGGAGGGCAGATGTTGCTGGGCAACTCAGACACCTGCTAAAATGAGAGCAGCCTTGCTTATGACAGGCCAATGCATCCAGATTCTCCATAGCATTTGTACATGTATCGTGTGAAGTAAAATGGCAAATTCAGCAAGTCCCTGTGGTGAAATTACTCTTCTCAGGCGGTTCATCGTAGCCAGATGCTGCTGCAAACACATTTATCCAAGAAAAAAATCTAACAAGATAATGAAGACACAGAAAACCCTTTCCTGCAATTTGCAGTAGCTCTTCCGCTTGGTTTAGACCATAATTTGTACTTGTTGGGATGACACATACAGTCAGTGTTTAGGGTTTGAAGCGGTAATGTCCCAAGGGCTTCTGTCAGTCCGGCACCATTATAAATGACAGAGCTGAGTGAGCCTCCTTGGCTGTTTCTCAACATCCCGGCCTCCTCGGGGCCTCGCGTAGCATTTGCAGAGCGTGTGCCCTTTTGATTTCCTAATCCCAGCACGAGCAGAGGAATGTTGGCCCTCCATGAGATATTCCACTCACAAGCCGTGATTTATGTTCTTGTGGTGCAAGGCTCAATGGTGAGATGATCGCAGGTGTTGTGGAGCCTCAGTAAAAACTTTTAATATGCACGCCTCGTGGTCTCTGGCAGGGCCCCGGCACAAGGATTACTACCATTCAATGGGGAGGGGGGGGCGGGGGGTAGGTCAATAATGTTTGAAATTCATCTGAGGCCTTAGAGTCCGATAGCTATGAACATCCATGTGTGTTTTTCGGGCAGAGGAACGGTACAACAACAGCCTTTTTTTCCTTCAGTTTTTTAATTCGGAATTGAAGAGATAAAAAGGAAATGTTGGATTTAAATTATGAAATGCACAGTTTAATGAAATTCACTTATGATAATTTTTTTGAGTGCATATATAAAATAAATCAGCAAACGCAGAATTTCCCTGAATAAGGATTTAACACTGAAAAGAAGAACATATGTAGTTCATCATTAAATGTGATAACACTAATTATGCTGCAGCATCCCGTCAGAAAGAAAAATTCCATTCAGAGATTTATATGGTACATCTTCCTGCCAGTGAGCCAGATTTTGCCATGACTTGTCATAGACAACTTCACGTGCTATAAATAAAAAAAAAACTCCCGCATGATTTAATAACAGTTGTCTTTGTTAATCACCCACCCTCCCTTTTCCGCTTTCCATACTGCCAGAGGGATTGCTGTAAACCGCACCTGAATGCAACCATCTTGTCTTCTAATGGCTGCATTAGACCCCGTCGCGCCTTTCTTTGGCTTGTTATCTGCACAGAGGTCAGAAAGGCCTTTCAGCCGTGTGTG